CCATTGGCTACTCCGACTGAAGGAAGAACCGAATCATTATTTGAGGTCAAAGGTCAAGTAATTGTGACCTCACATCCAATCGATTTACATTGATGCAACTCAGCTTATGCGTAGAGGGAATATTAATCAATCCTAGAGAAGAACACAAATACATTATTTGGAAGTGTCCCCTAACATTGTAGCCCCCTACGTTAAGGATTGTAGTGCGACCTTTCTTCTTCCATTTGTGCCTACTTGAACCATTTCTGTGTTTGTGAATTCTTAATATTCGCAATAAAGTCCTTAAACTTAAATATGTGATTTTCTTGTTTTTTATCTTGCTACCTTTAAATAGGTCTGTTTCCTCCGAAAAACATCTCAACAAAGGTTTAGCTTTTAATGTTATAGAACCTTACAGGGGAATTTACACAAATCAAATTCAGATTCTTCTTTATGGGTGAAAATCAGTTTTCTTTTTAGGTCAATCTGGCGAGATGACAAAGAGGCTTTACATTTCCACACTGTTTAAATCACATCTTCCTACATGATATTTAAAGATACACAATCTCTTTTGCTCCAGCGTGAAAAAATGGTTCATTTCTTTGTCTTATTTAATTCAGCAGATCACACAATTAAAGGGTGTCATCCTGGGATTAGGAACTATAATTGGAATTTCTGCCTTTTTATGACCTTTCATAGACCAAACATTGATTCATTAGATGAATAAATGATCTGATGCTTGAATGATGATGGAAAGTATTTTTAGTTGGAGCCCTCACTCCAACCACTGGGTGTGTTTGCCTTGATGTTTGTTCAGGGTGAACCTAATGAAAAAATGAGTACAGATCTATTCAAACTAATAGTATAGGTGATTAACGCAGACTGTCGACTTTCAGTAAAAAAAGGTTGGTGTTATGAACGGCTTCATTATTTGCTGTACCTAGCTATATCCTGAAAATAAAGCTTCAGATTAAGCCTAGCGTTTACTTTTTAAGGCTCCAACAGGAACCAATTTTCAGCATGATTCATAGATACCTGTGGCAGGCGCTCAAGCTCTTTTTTGCAGCTTGAGGCGTCAAACATCTTATTCTGCCCAGCGCACATCGCTGGATCTCAGCAGGAGGCTCAGATTGCTGACCATCACAGCCCAGTGATTACCTCGGCAACATTTCCCGAGAAATAGTCAGAAATCTCCCTGTGATGCACAACATATTTTCTTTCCTCCATTACCCATGACTTTCAAAACTGTGCAGTTTACTACCCACCGTGTCTGTCTGTCCCCATGAGCCCTGTTCGCACCCCACTGTTGTTGTTGGTCTGTTGTGCATCTGGGACACAAACATCTGTTTTTGTTTGATCAGGGCGGCATCAGACTTTGGAAATTCGGCTACAAATGTGGTGTCATAGAATAAAAAGAATGTTCTGTTTAAGTGTAACCCTGAGTGACGCATGCTTTGTTTACATTTTTGTTTCAAAGCAGCATATAGCCTATGCAAAAGGAACAAAACTAAGAATTCACGAGAACTGCTTTCTCCTTTTTTTGGTGTTGTGCTTTACTGCCCTCCACAGGCCAAAGAGTGAAACTGAATTATTTTAGTGACATTTTAGATCTCTACATCTCTACATTTGAAAAAGGTTCAGTTCTTTTCATTGGTTTGTTTTGTGAAGGGATTATGTTTGGTCTCTCTTTGGTCACTAGTGTCTGAAGCATTTAGCCTAAAGGAAGTGGATGTGATGCCAAACAAGAAGTTTTAGATTTACATATTCCACAACCAGATGAAGAATATTTCCAAAGACAAATTGTTTTTTTTTTAAACAGTAACCCTCAACACTTGGACATTTGCTTTAGCTTAACTATCTATAAAACAAAGTTTAAAGATCTATCCCATTATTAGACTGAAATACTGTTTTAAAAATGAAGTATACCACATTCGTAAGGTTTTGCTTTGTACTCCCCTGTATCATCAAATCAACCAAAGACTTTACATTTTTACAGTGAGTGAAAAAGACAAGATTCTCGTGTAATGATACACTTTGAGTTTAAAATTCCATAGTACATGTAGTCCATGCAGTTCAACATATTAAGATGATGTTCATGTTCTGCTGGTGGTTTTAGGCTCAGAAAATGACACTGATTTAGAAACTCCCCAGCCTTCTTATTAAAGTCCAGTTCGACATCTTTACAGCCTACCTTAAAAATATTAACCAAATGTTCTTCTTTCAGCCCACCATCGACAGTTTCCACATCTTTGTGTTTTTTAATATGGGGGTGCTACTGCTAAAATCACTGTAAGAACTCACTACAGTAATGGCTCTAATAGCAGCTAAGTGCGTTGAATTTAAACATCAAAACGACAACTAGTGGAATGAAAAAAAAACTCAACCACTATTTATGAAATGTTTCCTGTATTGAACATTCGGTGGTTCTGGCTCCCATGATGTGGTTTGAAGACCTTCTTTGATAATAATCTGAAAACCGTTGGGTTTGGGTTTGCAGATCAGACATTTTGAATGCTCAGTTTCACTTTATAAAACAGAGGAAGTGGTGATTTAGAGAAGGCAGGTTTTTAGTTTTAAAGCTAAATATTTAAATCTTGCTTAAATCTATTGGTGTCATGTTTATGCTGTAGGTTTAATTTAAACAGTTTGTTGTTGTAACATTTTGTGCTTCTCTGTGTTGCAGCATTGGGCCCATTACTCAGCAACTGCTGCAGCTAAAATTATTTCAAGGGTAACTTTCAGGGTAAAAATAATAAAAACCAGGCTGAACAGATTTTTACTGCAGGTTTTAGACAAGAAAACTTTATTTATGAAATGCTGAATCCTGTGTTTTTGTTGATGCCCTTCATTAAAAAACAGCAATAATCCACTTGTTGTTTACACTGAGGCTAACTTTTGAATGTGTGGCAGATGCTGCATCTGCTCCTTTTACGCACTATCACCATCATAACGACTTCTCATTCAGGGAAACATTTTGTCCATGAAGCTCGCACACACTCGCTGCTAGATGAGAGAGCCATATTACACAGAGAACGAGGGGATTGTTTAGATTGGCACGTAAAAAAGAAAAACAAGCAGTCTAGTCACGGTGCCAGACAACAGATGCGTTATCACTGTGCCACTGGAAGGACACCAACTGTGCACAATAATATCACACATCCACAAGGTGTGCTGTCTGGCATACATCCCTGTGTGTTTGTCAGATCTCAGCTCAATCCCAGCAGGGCTCGTCACATTATATTATCACAGGTAAGGTGATGTGCCCCAACACCCGATTATCATACACATGGCATCTTTACAGCACACACTGAGAACACACTTACTGCTCCAACACACATGTTGGGTTTAATAAAGCTGTGGCTACCTCTGTGTCTGAACAAACAAGATGTTTAAATGCAGAACATTTGATGTTTTTAACAAAAAGGAAACAATTAAGCTTTTCAGTCATTGTATTGTGTGTAAATGGCTTCATCACTGATGATGGAGGCAACATGGTGTGCTTAAAGAGCTAGTACCTGAACTGCTACTATTGTTTTAAAGGGTGAAGAGAAATGGCAGAGGCGTATGATTAAAGGAGAAAATCTATAAAATATCCACTGACTTAAATCATTACATGACCTCACTGTGTCATCAGACTTTAAGGAAACATGCCGTGTTGAAGTACACAGCAGCCAGTATGTCCTACTCGCTTCTGGTCCTGAATGGTCTGCATTTGTTAGGACCAGAGTAGTTAGTGAGTTCTAAGACACGCCCCCACACGGTCATTTTTGAAACTGGTTCGGCAGATATGACGCCAGTTATCTTAGCAAACCAACAGGTGTTGCAGCAATGGAATCATGCAGGTGGACTGGTTCAGATGTAACCGATTCTACCCGACCTAAAAAGCTTCTGCATGTTTCTAATTGGCCCCACAAGCCGAAACATGGAAAAACTAGGAGAAATATTGGAGATGCTTTTGATTAGTATTTATGTTTATGAATATTAGTGTTACTGTTCTCAATATTTTGTTGTTTTTTTAACTTGTAATGTAGGGCACCTCGGTCAACGCAGGCCCTCCCTGCTAAATATGGAACAACAAGAAGTCAAACAATTTGTGTCATGTGATGTGGTCCAGATTCAATGCAAAGTAGATTAAACAAACATCTTTGCTGCAGCTGTTGATACCGGCCTGATTGTATCTTTAGTGTTTCACCTTCACAGATCATCATTAAACTGATGTGTTATGTCGTATTTACATTCACTGTCACAACAAAGAGTGGATATCAGGTTAAGTTCAACAAACCCAGGGTATCATTAGGATGTCTGGCTGTCCAGTGTTTTTACCATTGAAAGATGTAATCATTTGACACTGTATTTGATCTTATATGTAGAAAAAGTAGAAGGCTTCAGTGGTTTGTTTAGTCTCTTATCTAGGTTTTTGAAGAGGGGAGGGAGAGAAAGACTGCCAATCAGCTCAGAGACCCCTGTGATCAAGAGATCTCATTGATGTTCCATACAGCCATCTTTTATTTTCTTACATAACCTGCTACCTGCTTTTGTTTTACTGGTAAGTGTTTCAGTGTTCTGCTTGAAGATCCTATTCTAAAAATGAAAATAAAGAGCAATAACAAAAGAAAACATTAATGACCGATTTAAATGATTCCTTTGTTGCATAGCTGCAGAGGATGTTTTTTTTTTAAATCACAAGGGAGGATGCAGTCAAAAAAAATTGGATTCTTTTCATTAGTTATTTAGTCAGTTTTCCTAAAAAGTTTTTTTTTTTGTAAAAGTGCCAGGCTGCCTGTTCAAATAAATGATATTAAAGTGAGAAATTGGCAAACATGGAAAAGTAAACGTCTCACTCTGAAGCAGTGGCATGAAGCTGCAGTACTAAATGGGTCATTATCAATTCCACACGTCACCTGCAGCAATTTGATATTCTTCTGATATTTTCACATTTACAAAACAGGATCAAACTGCCTGACTCACTGTCACGTCCCACACTGATCCTGTTTCATCAAAGAATGGATGCATAAGGAATCTATCTGTTTTCATTTTGTTTTAATAGTTCTGATAGTTCAGGTAGAATAGCTTTGTTTTCACACATAATCATAAAAATGTATTCCATCACATGAACTTAATAACAAACCGTACAAAAAGGCACAAATTCACAAACAAGTATTCACGGTGTCTTCTGGCCTAAATGTTAGAGAAGCAGCTCAGTGTGGGGTTGGAGGAAAAAACAGGCCGGAGGGTAAACAAGCTGAGAAGAGTGAGGGCAAGTGGTCAGTACTCAGTGGATGTCAACAAGTGCCTTCTTCAAATATTCATACCAAAATTAATTGGTTTCATCTCATTTTTTTTCCATCTGGGTTTATTATATAAGAGCAATTTTTAGATTTGGTGTCTGCCATCAAAGCTATAAAGAATTTTCTTTTCTACTTTCACCAGTTTTCAGTGGCCATGTGTAATCATACAGCAGTGGTAAAGCACACTTACTGCCACACCAGAGATCCACATTAATACCATTTAAAATTTTACATTTATTTCAGTTAGGGCAACACACTCATAAATACTGAGCAGCTCACTGGACCCATCTAAGAGATTTATTTATTTATTTATTTTTTAAGTCAAAGCTGATTTCAAACGCTCTTACTGAAAGGGGATCAAAGCTACCTTTTTAGATGCGATCTTCCATGTACATGACAAAAAAAAAATGTTAAATGCCAATTTTCAGTGTCATTTAAACCAAGCAGCAACATGTCACTTTAAACCGCAGTTTGATGTTCCAGAGACAAAAGCAAATGTAGCATCCACCTATTACATCCGACCTGTGTTCTAACCCGAGTATGACCCAGAATGCACTCCTTTAAATTACTTTATGTTTGAACAAGTCTCACTCCGCACATCTTACAGCAGTTGTTCTACAAAGCTGGATTATCCAAGCAGGTTCAACATGTAGGTGAAGTCAAAATGGACAGTGTGAGCTGATTTGAAGGTTTCTGGCAGACAGTGTGTCATGAAAAAGTCTTATCCCTAAGAGAAGGGCTGTGATTTTTTTTTTCCTTCAATACATACTCCATTCAACAACCACTGTTCATATATGCAAAGTCCTTCTCCAGGTCCAACATGATCAGCCCAAGTCGCTAGTCACATACCACTCAAGACATGATCTGACAGAATGATCCCTAATTTGATGAGTCCACCTGTGGCGCGCAAGTCAGGCTGATCTTCAAGGACCTGCAGAATATCTCCCTTATGACTTCTGGCAGGTCAGAGGGCGTCGGAACAGCAAGATGTGAGGCTCTGGGGGAGAAGAAAGCAAAGTGTAAGCAAAGCTAGGGCACTTAACGGTTGTGTTGCTCTGATTCCTAATGAGGACACTTGACTCCCATTCTATTATTTTTGAATGAGGGCGAGGTCAGGTTCGGCACCTGCTGCCCATATGCTGGTGGTCACCAAGTCTATTGAACATTTACTACTTATCTGCCCCCCCCCCCTTTAAATTGTGTAACTGTATCTTTCATCACCTGGGTGAATAGATGACAACATTTGAGACATAAAACAACATTGGCTTCAAATGTCAATCAATGATACAGAACAGTGTGCAAGTTCTACAGCATGCAAATTAGAGATTTCCAGCCTTGCTGTCAGATTTAATGTACATGCAATCTGCACGGCAATGTTGCCATCTTGTTATTCAGTTTTGCTGTCAAAAATGTAGACATTAAAGTCAAACACATAGAAGCTTTTATACATCTTCATCCCTAAAATATCTCGTCCCCAATCTGTTGTGACATTTAAATGGTTTAACTACCGTCAATGTATTGGCTTTGTCTGTGTTTGTTACTAAAGACACTGTCCTTTTTGAAAGCTTGTTTAAGGACACTTAAGTAATGGTTGTCAAGCATCTTGCTTTAACAGGGGGCATAACAACTGTTGTCTGAAATACATCAAGACCAGATATTAGGAGGTGATCGTTTAATAATACGTTTATCATTATGGATCACTTGTTGAAAATACTGTCCCTTAATAATAATAAAAAATTAGATTTATATAGCGCTTTTCTAAATACTCAAAGACGCTTTGACAGGAAACAACAAAAAACAAAGCAAAAACTAAGAGAACAATAGAACATAGAAGTAATGTCGAGGGAAGAGGATGAGAGTCAGTGGTTGTAGGCGGTGATGAAAAGGTGAGTTTTAGGGATTTCTTGAAGGAAGTGAGTGTGGGGGAGTCTCTGATGTTTTTGGGAGAGAGTTCCAGAGGGTGGGAGCAGCAATGGATTAGGCCCTGTCCCCCCAGGACCGAAGGTTGGTCCTGCAGGGGGGGGACAGGAGGTTTTGCCTAGCAAAAAAATAATAGTAAAATACCTGGCTGGTGGATCATGTAATGCACCCATCCTTGGCTCTGTTGGACCCCCAGGTTCCTCCACTCGGTCTCAGACATCAAGTGGGTCTTGGGTACACGCTTTGCAATATCTTTAGGTAACATTACATGTCTGAAAAAAAGGCCAATATCAACAGAAAATAACGTGAACAGTTATTAAATATTGAAATTCACCTTGTTTAGTTCAACCGAAAATACTTTATATGCAATGACAACTTAATTAAGTTATTAAACTCGTTAAAACATTGACATACTGACCACGATAAACTATATGTCATATACAAACCTGTACTCGTATTTTTCATCGTCGTATTTATCAGAGTAGTAGATCTGTTTGTGCGACATGACGGAAACCTAGGGGGAAAGTATTGAGGATTAACAAAAATGCAGATCCAGAAACAAACATATCAGCTCCAAATATGATAAGGCGACCGGGACCGAATATTCTGCTAAGCATGGCTAAGTACTGGTGGCTAACAGTTTGGCCGAAGTTAGCCAAGAACAAGTATTACTCTAACAACTTTCTTAATGTTAACGCCAAACAATATACAACATCTTCTCAGCGAAGTTTTAAATGTTACCTTTGAAGACTGTCAAGCTGTAGGGTTGAGGATAAACGTAATTATTCCAGTTTTGTGTCCAGCGGAACCGTAATGTTCCTCGTTTCTTTGTTTCCCTCTCGAATGTCGGCGAGCCCGCTTCTCATCGTTCAAATAGACGTCGCCTCATCCCATTGGTCCAACGCGCTGAAGAACTTTCTTCCTATTGGTCAAGACTGTCAGTCGCAGGAAATTGACGTACAGCTGTATGTGTTTCTGATTGGTCAACAGACAAAAATGTCGAATACGTAATTTGCGGAAAGTCAAAATCCAATTTCAAACATGACTTTAATGTTATTGCATAACCAGTGACCCAGATGTTTGAACTGGTTTTCTTTACTGAGACGGATGTTAGCTTTATGTAGGCTACTGTATGTTCTTGTTTCTACTCTTTGTAAGAGCTTCTTTGATAAAGAAACTAGGATTGTAACCTTAATATTTAACACAGTTACAAATGTTATTGAGAGAGACAGAGGGGGTGACATGATCGCACTGGTCGGTTGGTCTCCTGGAATGTAATTAATTTAAAACTCACAACTCTTCAATGATTTTGTTATTTATTCTTCATCAATTGTACATCTTTTAACATTTGATGTTGACCCTAAAGGGATGACTTGATTATTATAATATAAACAGAATAAACATAATTTATTAATAAAAATCACTGCCCCACAGTTTATTTATTACAAAATTAAGGTTTCATTTTTTTATGCTATCTAAGGGCTGAGACTGTGCCTAATGACATCACAGAGTAAAAGATACAGATAAATGTTGAATATTTTAATGCTGAACTATATTAGTGACCATAATAAGCAACTTAAAAGTAGGCCTATGTTTTTTTCTTTAATCGATCCATAAATAAATCTCTATTTGTACAGTGCCAATTCATAACAAATGTTATCTCAAGACACTTTCCAAAAAGCTGGTCTGAACTGTGTACTATTTGTATACTTTTACTATTTAAAGACTCAACATTAATCCATCATGAGCTGCACTAAGCAACATTTAGCAAAGTTGCAGTGGCATGAAAAACCTGCCTTTTAACAGACAGAATCCTCAAGCAGAAAACAGACTCATGTTGAACAGCCATCTGGTGAAACTAAGTGCTTGGTAGTAGGACATGGGAGATGCAGTAAGAAAGAGAAGGATACAAACAGAGCAACAACAAATAATAATAAGATGTATTGTAACAATTCAAGTAATAATGGCATGTGAAAGTATGTGTCATATTAGCAGTAACAGCTAAGTATGATAATAGACTTATCGGTCTTATATCAACATATCAACTGAAATGATGATGAAATTGGGAGGTTTTTGTGTTCATGAACAAGCTCTGATCTGAAAACTAGGAAGGTCTTGTCAGCTAGGTGGGTGAATCGAAACTTGCTTTAAGTAGATATTGATAATGGGCCGTTGTCAGGCTTTGTTCGGGCTGAGCACTTAAGTTTCATTCTCTGAGCATCAACAGGGGAGGCAGCTGACACGTGTCACACCCTCTGTTGATTGCAAGCTGAAAATCTGGGGCAGGTTTTCACAAAACTGCACTACTTTCAGTAACAGAATTGCTAAGAGCTGGCAGAGCTGCGGGTCAGTCCTCAGTTCTATTACTGCTAGACCTGTCTGCTGCCTTTGACACAGTCAACCATCAAATCCTCCTATCCACACTCTCTGAACTTGGCATCTCAGGATCTGCCCTCTGCTGGTTCGTGTCCTACCTCTCTGGGCGATCCTTTCGAGTGTCGTGGAAGGGAGAAGTGTCCAAAGTGCACAGCTTATCCACAGGGGTACCTCAAGGGTCAGTGCTTGGTCCCCTTCTCTTCTCCATATACACAACCTCACTTGGTTCAATAATCTGCTTTCGTGGCTTCTCATAACACTGCTATGCTGACGATACCCAGCTCTTCCTGTCATTCTGCCAGACGATGTTACAGTCTCTGCAAGAATCTCATCATGCCTTGCTGATATCTCTAAATGGATGAATGAACACCACCTTCAACTGAATCTTTCAAAGACTGAGCTCCTTGTCCCAGCCAGTCCCTCTATGCAACCACAGATCAATATCCAGCTTGGAACAACCAAACTCATGCTCACAAAGTCTGCCCGGAACCTGGGTGTCATGATTGATGACCAGCTAACTTTTAAGGTTCAAGTAGCCTCGATTGCCCGGTCATGTCGCCCTGTACAACATCAGGAAGATCAGACCTTACCTGTCAGACCACACTACACAGCTCCTGGTACAGGCTCTTGTGATATCAAGCATCGATTATTGCAATTCTCTACTGGCAGGTCTTCCTACATGCACTATCAAACCTCTGCAAATGATACAAAATGCAGCAGCACGACTGGTCTTCAACCTTCCTAAAAGAGCACGTCACTCCGCTGTTCATCTCCAGACACTGGTACTGCTCGCATCAAACTTAAAACTCTGCTGCTCGCTTACAAAACAGCGACAAAAACGTCTCCTCCTTACTTTAACTCTCTCATCCAGGTCTACACCCCCCCCCCCCCACTATGCTCTGGCAATGAAAGGCATCTGATCCAACCTTCACAACAGGGTCCTAAGTCTCTGACTAGACTCTTCTCCTCTGTCGCCCCCCGGTGGTGGAATGAACTTCCAAACTCCATTCGATCTGCAGAGTCCCTCTGCACCTTTAAGAAAAAGCTAAAGACCCAGCTCTTTCATGAATACCTACTAACTTAATGATGATGGTCTCCATATTATTGATGATGATGATGATAATGTGGTTGGTTTTTGTTTGATAACAATGACTTATAAGATGGTTTCTATACTGATTAGAGCTCTCAAGAACTGCCCTCAATGTTGTGCTTTGCCTCTGGTCACTTCCTGTCAGCACCTGTGTGTCCAATCAGACTCAAAGCTGATCGTTTGCTCTTACTGACATTGTTCCCTTTTTTCTAGATCCTTGCTTGTGTTGTTCTTACTCTCTGATGTATGTCGCTTTGGAGAAAAGCGTCTGCTAAGTGAATTGTAGAATGTCTACATTTACGACCAGTTGCATATCAATTTTGGCTAAAAAGTGCTGCTTGCATTTATTCATCTTTATTCAAAGTATTGTCATACAGACCTATGTGATGTGTTATAATGCCCTTTTTCTCTGTGTTGTTTTTTGTCTGCGTTCCTTCCTCTTCTGTATTATTTGTGAAGCTTTTTGTGACTTTTGGGAAGAAAGGTGCATATATATATATATCTAAAGTGTATTCATATTGTTATTATTGGTATACAGAATCATTTAAATATAGTTTTTATATCAAAGGATCAATTGAAGGTCCATTCTCTTTAATGGGTTGTGTGTTTTTGAGGGGTCTCTTTTCAGATATGGAAAGTGGTCAAATAGATAGATAGATAATTTAAACAAGAACCTATAAACAGTTGAGGAAAAAAAGATCTGTAATTAGACCTGCATATAAAAAAATAATTTAAAAACAAAGTGTTGACCTTCTTGCAAATAAATGTGCCATCAGAGATAAAACCGTTAACACACTCTAATTTTAGAAGAAAAGAAGTCAGATGATGAAACAAATGTCCACACTGGAGCAACGTGAGTGGAGGGGTAGTCCGCTTTGGTAAGTCCCGCAGGCAAATATAGCTCCACAGACGTGTCAGTGTGCAGCTGGCCCACGTCGCCCTTCCCTCCTGGATATATAAGTGAGCATGCATGCTTTTTGAGGCTTAGTTTCACACATGAAGTTGTATTATTAAAAACCAGGGGGATGTATCCGGATCTACCACCTGCCATTCCCACCTGCGAACGTCAATCATGCTTGGATGTGCGTCTTTTTCCCCTGACACGACACTTTTATCTTATTGGTCCAGCGATGGTTCAGGGGCGGGAGCTCCGTAGTGTCTCCTGAAATCTAATTGGACGAAAGACGTCTTTGACGTGACGCAGCCAGGAATTCCCAAAGTTCCCAAGTTCAGGGGAAGAGAGGAGCTGTTGTTCATACGAAGAAAACAAAACGTTTTGAAGGGAAAACAAGGAGCGACTGAAGTATTAACAAGTGGGGTAGGTAAAGCTTCTTCTTCGTGTTTTATATAGACGAGTCGTGCCGGTGTTTGAAGCTCTCGCTGACAGCAGGGCCTAAGTGAGAACGCGGAAGAGTGGGAGTGGGAACATTGAAGCTACCATCCTTTGTTTACCATCATGTGTGAACCTCGAAACAACAGCTGTAGCTCTCAAACTTTGTTTCTCTGATGTGCGGAAGAGAGGCGTTGTGTTTTCTGTGTTACCGATATGTGAGTGCTGATGTTTAAAGCTTGTATCTGAATCAATGAGTGCTCGTGTCTGGGGTTTGACCATTTTTGGTCATTTGCCTGGCACACAGATTGACTGGATGGATCGATCTGAATGAATGGTAATAGCATGGTTAACGAGAACAAGCGGTAGATATCTGTTTCTTGTTTTCACTGCGCAGTGGTATATTATGGATGGATGCCACAGCACTGTTACATAACTTGCATCAACGACAATCTGCTCTTTATCCCTTGCGTGCGGTGCATTAGGTCTAAAACTGTATCGTTATTGCACAACTGTTTTGTCTATGGCTTCAATTTAGTTACGTATCATCAACATATTGAAGAGATTGTGTCGAAGATTGTCGTGTTGTGTGTATTTTGTGTGCACAACTGCATACGTAAGCTTATACTTTTGGCTGCCTTAATAGATATTACACACAACGTAAGAGTGTTATGGGGCTTATATAACTAAGATAAGGTTTTCAGTACATGTTTATGTCCAATAAAGAAACGTTGTGTCTGTCGTCTGCAGAATTTCATTCAGCTGAATCTGCACCGTGCTGTGCCAAGTGGAGCCTGAAGAGGGCGATGTCTGACAACAGCCACAGCACAGGCAGCAGCAGCGGCTCCTCCACCAACAGCTGGACCCTCCTATCCCCCGAGGTAACCAGCCAGCTCTGCTCAGAGGAGGCTCATGAATACGAGTTGGAAATATTGGCATGTTTGTACTTGCCTCAGAGCTTCCCTCTTTGGGAACATTGTGGGAAATTACTGCAAAGTTCCAAACTATTTGTCTGAGGCATGTGCAGTTTAAATGGGAAATATGTGTTTAGCCAAGATCTTAGTGTGCACAACTTAAGGTCGGTAAGATTGGGTATTAAGGGCACAAAGCTGACTAAATGGAATGCAGCCATAAGCAACAGCCAAAGAAAATGTCCTTCCTCGAGAGAGGTGATGGCATTGAGTTTTTGTTGAGACAGTTCCAGAGAGGCGTCGATTCAACTTGATGGTCTGCCTGTAGACTTAAAGTTCAGTTAAATCTCAACGCAATGTTCTGATTTGTTACCCTGTTTGTATAATGACAGCAGCCTAAATATGTCAGCTCAGTACAGATCACAAAATCAGTTTATAAAGGAGAAGAGCATGTCAACATTTGCAACAGCCACATTTGATAGTTGGGTTGGGTAAGTCACATTTGATGTCTCAGTTATAATGGAAGAAGTCTGTCTCTGGATCTAGTTTATTGTTGATTAAGGCATCAACATGTCCAAGTCTCAATCACAGTGATAGATCATAAACCAGGCGTAATGATTTGCGTTTCCCAGCCAGGTCTTGTCTGCATGTGCAGGCATGTCTGTATTGAGTGTGTGCTATTAATGTCAAGGTCGGTGCTACAAATCAGAGGGGGGTAACTAAAGGGGCTGAAGCCTGATCTCCTGGGATCTTTTCACTCTGCAGGAAGCTGCTGTTGAGAATGTCGGGCCAGTGGATGACGGCACAGAGAGCCTGGGTGATGCCCCGAGTCTCTCTGAAGACGTGACAGGTACTGACAGGACCAGGTTTGGGGATCAAACTAAACACAGCATTTTTGTGTTTTTTTATATATTTTAGTGTTGACATGGTGTTCATGTTGTTTCAGGAGCTGCTGTGGAGTTCAAACCAAGTGACACTTCAATAGAAACAGTTCTGTCTGAAGAAGGCCATCAGGTGGGTACACAATGAACTACATCATGGTCAAATCAGAGTCAGAATCAGAATCGGGGTTTATTGCCAAGTACATTTACACATACAAGGAATTTAACTTGGTGTATTGATGCTAAACAATTAACAAGGAAATAAAGCAGAACTAGCAACAACTTAAATAATACAGTATAAGAAGATATTACCATATATAAAATCGAATTTCAAAATTTAAGATATAAAATATAAAAAATACAAAATGTACAAAAGGTGCAATGTGCAGTGGACTATGAGAAAAGGGCATAAATCTGACCTTTAAACAACATTGTTATTAAGAGAGCAAAAGTCTAAATCCTAAACATAACTACATTACTATATCCAGCTCTATTTTTAATATTGTGTTCCGAGGCCATCTTTTCCTTACCAATGCCATTATCATACGTAATATCATTTATCTTTTGCAAACATAAATAATCCTGACCTGAAAACAGCCTAAAAAAGCTTGGATATCATTAGCCTCAGTTCTGATTTCACTCTTTCCTGACATGCTGTCCCAGTCACTGAGTGGGGAGAAACCCTGATTTTTTTTAACCAAGAAATGATTTAGTTTGGTGTTTTTACAGCTTTTGAAATCTGGGTTTGGAAATATGATAGCTGACAATTTGCCCTCTCCAGGAGCCGCAATCTTTTTCCTCCGCTGCTCTAAAACCATTATTTCAGAGGGGCAGTCACATTCAAGTTGTTTCTGTGTAATTACTCATTGAGGATTGGTAAATTATCAGACGGGGGCGATGTCTGATTTACTAGCAGAAACTAAATTCTGTTTTCTAGGCTGAATTTGAGAATTAGCGAATCGTAGTATCAGAGCAATTCTTTATTGTGTTTTATCATAGAACTCAACTGTGAAGCTACTCACCATGTGTAGACACTGTGACATTTTTTTGTACTGTAAAGTGTTTAAAAACATATACATGGTAACTCAGGGCAATGTGGGAAGCTATTAATGAAAGAGAAGAATGATAGACAAAAAAATGATGAGGAAAGAATGATGAGCATATTCTGCTCTTGATCTTAACTTTGACTGTGAGAAAAAGATAATATATAAGACTATTCCTAACTTTTATTTCTAGGTGTGTCAGGAGACCTCTCCAGAGTCAGGTGAGGTTCCCATCCCTTCCAGTCCGTCACGATTGAGTCCTCTACCTCCGAACTCTCTTGACCCCTCAGACCTGGACCTGGAGAGTCAGCCTCCAGTCATCCATGACATGGTCACCAGCTCCCCCGGTGACAACGAGCCCCTCGGAGCCACACCCTTTGTCACCACCATGGATTTGGGCGCCCCCCTCGATCTTCCTGCAGCCGAACTCTTAACAGAGGAGCTTCTTGAGGAGTCGTGCTCTGCTCCTTCCCCGACCGAGATCCCCGAGGTCTCTGCAGAACGCGTGCTCGACGCGGCCCCTGATATCACGCTGATTCCCGCGAGCCCCGTCGAGGAGAGTCCTGTTTTCGTCGCGGAACCCGAGGTCAGCATCCCCACTGTGACCCTCACAGCATCTGATGCCCCCTCTCATGTCGAAGCTGATGTCAGCACCGGTCCAGAGAGCATGGAGCCGGAGAGCCACGTCCCACAGAGCCCCCCGATGCCAGAGATCCCCATCACTCTTAGTCCTGCACCAGAGACTGTTGGTGCAGTGGAGGAGGAGAAGGAGGAGGAGGAGGAGGAGGAGGAGGAGGCTGTGGAAGAGGCAGAGATAGATCCTGTAGAGACGTTGACCCAGGGCAGGCGAGAGGAAGATGAAGAAGAAGGAGAAGGTATTAATCTGTTTATGTTATTACAAGCATGATACATCAGGCTGTGATATTTTTTGGGGGAGGAGGAAACTTACAGGAAATCAGTCAGAGCTATGATTATTGATAGATAGATAGATAGATAGATAGATAGATATGAACTTTATTAATCCCTTGGGAAGGTTCCCTCAGGAAATTCAGATTCCAGCAGCAGGTAACACCAAAGGATAGAACAGCACACAGATACAAAGAATAAAATAAAAACACAAATAATATACTGTACACAGTAGCAGCAATAGACATGTCTAAATAAAGTATACCAGTACAGATTTATAATAAAAGAGCAGCAGCAATAAGAAAAAGGTAGCAGCAGTTGTGTTGTTTGTGTCCTTTGTGTTTATAAATAGATAATTAACAATAAATAATGAATAATGCAAGCTGTTAGGATTGTGTTGTGGGTCCCAACGTAGGGTGTAAGGTTTCCTTTTTAGGCCTCAGTTTAGTTTCTTCTCAATTCTGAGGCTTCACAAATCATTTGATTGAAACATTGTTTAGGAGTGGAAATTGCTTGGTTTTAAGTTTGAAGGTTGAAGGGGGTTTCAAAAGAAGTCTGGGAGCCAAACTGCAATAAAAGACATGAAACAGTCAGAGTGATCAACATAAACGTTCATCAACGTTTACATACTATACTAGTCCATTCACCCCTTTTAGTCTTTGCCTTCTTTTAGCTGACCCCTAGAGGAAGCCCTGATTGTTATATTGTGTAGTCATGTCGTATGGACACTAGTTGTTGAAGTATCTCTTTTGCAAAAAGTATTTCAGCTTGACAGATTCTCAAAATGTATTAATAATGTGACAAAAACAATGCTGAATAGAGCATCATCAAAACCCAAATATGTGAGAAAAAACAAACAAGTGACACAGATAGACGGTAACATCTTATGTTCCAGTTAGCTTTTAGGGCGAGTAGCTGTGCTCCTGATTAAACCTCTTTCTTCTCAATCATTGTGCATTTTGTACAGTTTTCATTTTATGAAATAGTGCATGGTAACAGATATGCTGTGTGGTTATATGACTGAACACAGTTTAAGAAAAAGAGACATGACAGCACGATATCAGCTGAATAAATGAGTCACAGGACCGAAGGAAATACAGCATGATGTTGTGCTTAAGTGGTGCTTTAGTATCATTATTTAATGTTTCACAGAGTCATTCAAGGAAATGATGCTGGTATTGTGTCCTTTGTATATCTCATATTGTGTTTAAATAATTAAAGATCAGTAACTGCTGTAAAAACTAAGGTAACATCCAAAACAATAATTCCCTTAAGTTTTACAAATCAAATAAAAACATCCCAGGAAGAAAAAATAACCAAACGTGTGATCAGATAAACTGATTTCTACTCAGTAGAAAATGAGGCTTTTGTGACTTCCTGTGGGGTCTGAGGCTGGTAACAGAGACCACATTAGTGGTCCGTGGCTCTTTGTTATTCTCAGTAGTCTTTGTAGGCAGACAATGAGAGTCCCCCTCTGCAGAAGAATTGGTGAACATGTTGCTTATCTGTGTCACAACCGGCAGCTGGCGAGTGATGTATCCGTTCGACAGAGAGCCGGTGCACCCCGCTGAGAAAATGAAGGAACCTCCATGCATGAAATGACTGTTGTTGTAATTTAGTTTAGAAAATATCATCCATTCTGCACCCCCCCCCCCCCCAAAAAAAAAAACTCAAAAAAACACTGTTTACGCACTGTTGTGTTTTTGTGCTCATGTAACCACTTAGATTCTGGTATTTTGTGTGAGGCAGTCTGCCAGCACATAATTATGGACTTGGCAATAATATCTCCTTCTGACGCTTTTGGAGCCAAAGACGTCTGAATGATTTATCCATGTTGGTCTGGGACACATTATATACATGTGTTTTAACTTTAGGCTCTTGTCATTGTCTGCATGATAGAATGTCACATCCCTCTGCTGTGCTGCCATCTCTTTATCACCTTCATTTCCCCCTCTCTCTCCCTCTCTCCGCAGAGCCTTCCAGTAGTTTGGATTTGGGCGACACGAGCGGCTTCGACGACGGACTGAGGAGGAGGAACGTTCCCTCCTTCGAGGCACTGAGGCCGAGAACATCGGATGAGGAAGACGAGGAAGAGGAGGTGGAGTTCAAGCTGGCCGAGAGGAAGGAGGAGAAGCCGTGGTGCTCCTTGAACAAATGCATTGTGGGAGCTCTGATATTGCTCTTCCTAGGGTCTCTCTTTCTCTCAGGTGAGTTTCTTAAAACAGCTTTAAACAGAGCTTTAGCTTTAGCTTGCTTCTGCCTTTCAGGAATCAGGAAGAAATGAAAGCCACATTTAAATTTCTTCTATTATAATAGAAGAAATCTACCCATTGGATCTGCAGAGTCCCTCTGCACCTTTAAGAAAAAGCTAAAGACCCAGCTCTTTCATGAATACCTACTAACTTAATGATGATGGTCTCCATATTATTGATGATGATGATGGTAATGACGATGGTTTTTGTTTGATAACAATGACTTATAAGATGGTTTCTATACTGATTAGAGCTCTCAAGAACTGCCCTCAATGTTGTGCTTTGCCTCTGGTCACTTCCTGTCAGCACCTGTGTGTCCAATCAGACTCAAAGCTGATCGTTTGCTCTTACTCACATTGTTCCCTTTCTTCTAGATCCTTGCTTGTGTTGTACTTACTCTCTGATGTACGTCGCTTTGGAGAAAAGCGTCTGCTAAGTGAATTGTAGAATAATAGAAATGTAAAATTTTACTCACAAAAAGCTCTTTCTAACTCTCCTATCACAGTTTATTTTCACACATGTAACATCAGGGATTTGAAGAGTTTTGCGCTTTTTTTGGTAAATGTAGTCAAAAATGACATCATTACACACTCACAAAATTGACATTGACGTATTTCATTATTACATAAGCACATTTTATTTGCAGTTGTCAGCACTGGGCACATGTCTGTTTTTAGAAACTGCTGACTAAGCTGCACTATGTCAACAGGTTTCCTCTCTGACCTGGATAATGGTAGGTCCAGTACTGCAGATAAGACAGCAGCATTAGCTCTCACACTAGCTGGCTAACACTCAGTCGCTCGTCTAAGCGCTTATCTGGCCTGACACTTCACGCAGTGGCAGCAGAAAATGGCAAAATAACACGGGATTCTGTGCTGTACAATAACGCTCGTTATCACCATGTGGTGTGAAGCACTCACTGGATGTTTCTGGGGCTTATCCAGCGGGAATTTACCTATTGCTGGTTATTTGCTTGGTTAGCCAAAATACTTCACATGTTATGTTGTGGAATCTGAAAAATCTGCCTAAATAAATATGAGTACACAGGTAGTGCCTGAGCTTGTAGAATGCACTTCACAACAAAAGCTTCTTGTGCAGTTTTAAGACCGGATGAGTCAATAAAAGAGCATGTTGTGGGAGCATGTTGTGAGACTTATAAGACTGACAGACGTGTTGTGTCCTCCTCTGACAGGTGACTTTGACGGGTCAGATGAAGAACAAAGCCAGGTCCGTCCCTCTGCTCTCTTTCTTTCTTTGCTCAATCTCAGTGTCTCTATATTCTCAAATACATGTTAAAAGAGAAGAATTTAAAAAAATCTTCAGTCTTAAAACATAAAAGACAAATGCTAAATGATATGATTGCATACAAAATATGTGTTTTTCTCCATTTGCCAACCATTTTTGCTTCCAGGACTGGCTTAGCAGTGATCCACAGGATATGAAAGAGCTATTGAATAAGCTGACACAGGAAAACCAACAAATCGCTCAGCTAGAGGCGCAACTACAGGTCAGCACACCACTGATGTTGATGCTAATGAGGTTGCTTTACCCCGTCTTGATGTGTTAATGTACTGCAATAAAAATAAAAATAAAGATGTTTTTGATAAATTAATAACATCCTGCAAAAAGCTGGCTTTGATTTCCACTTTTTTTTTTTTTTTAACTTCTTCAGTCCCAGAAAGAAGAACTTGACTCGGCTCTGAAGACAGTGGCAGCAAGCGACAGCAAAGAGGTTAAAGCGGGTCTGGAAAAGGAAAACACAAGGCTGAAGGAGGAGCTGTCGTCTCTGCCCCGAGCTGAAGAAAGAGCTGGAGAGTCTGAGGTCCAGAGTGACAGAGCTGAACCAACTCACAGGTAAATATCTTCTTTACATACAAAGATAGATACTGTCATGGAGTTACTTTGTGATATAAGTTATCACCAAAGCCTTAATAACTTTGATATGTGTAACTCTTTACAGCTGATCAGGTGGTATCAGCAGTGGAATCAGGCTCAACCCCTCAACCAGCAGACAAAGATGAACACAGTGAGCAGGAGGCAGCTGGTCCAGAGAAGAAGAGGGAAACGAGTTCTGGAGGAAGGCTGAAGGAAGAACTGCAGCGTCAGAAAGTCCTTCTGGAGGAGAGCAGGAAGAGACTGCAAGGAATGAAAAAAGACGGAGGCGACAGGAAACGAGTGAGGGACAGTTTGGAGGAGATCCAGAAGAAGCTGTCTGAACAGGTGGAGAGGTGGGGGAAGAAGAAGCCGCAGGAGGCCAAATGGAAAGGGAACAAGGGCAAAACGAACGAGAGGGACCACTTGAAGAGAGACGAGAAGAAGGAGTGGAGAGGAGAGAAGGACAGGAAGCACGGCAAGGATGGAGGATGGAGGGAGAAGGAGGAGAAGAAGGAGAAGGAGTGGAGGTCTGAGAAGCAAAACTCTCACAAGGAGGCGTGGAGGAAACACCAGGACGAGTGGGAGAGGAAGAAGTGGGAGAGGAGGACGGACCGAGAGGAGAGGAGGAAGGAGAAACCGTGGCATGGCAAGCATGAGAAGAACTCCCACAACCACAACCATCAGCATCAGCATCAGACGCCCCGCCAGCCCCATCAGCACAACCAGATCCACTTCTGGAAGGACCAGGAGAAGAAGCTGAAACGCAACATCCTCCCCCAAATGGGCCGCCTCTCCTCCGAGGAGTCTGCTGCCAGGGAGGGGCTCTACCCGGTGGAGCTGCCCGAGTTTGAGGAGCTGCTGGAGGGCTACCTGAGCAAGCTTGAGGGGTCCGCTCCAGAGAGCAAGGACAAGCTCAGGAAGCTGACCGCCGAGTTCTTCGAGGGCGGCGTTTTCATCCACGAGAGGGTCCTTTTCAGTGACTTCGCCGAGGACGTGGCCGACATCCTGGAGGACATGGTGGACGTTTTTGAGAACGGCGGGGGGAAGGACGGCGACGACGACGACTCCCTGGAGGAGGCGATGGAGGAGTTTGAGCGGGAAGCGCTGTGGAAGTTTGCAGCCACAGCTTAAACAGACAGAAAAAAGGTGGAGGGGGGGAGGAGTTAAAAAAATAACAACACTGAGAGCAGCACAAGTGGTGGTTTTTAGGACATTTCTTGCCTACATTCTCCTCCTCAGAGCTGTAATTGTAGTAGCTTCAGGTGCAGAGTGCCTCTCATAAAACGTGTTCCCCTCTGAGTCTTTAATTATAAGCTAGACTTGTTCTTGTCATTTTTTGGACTTTAGTTTGTGTTACCTACCTCTGTCCGCTCATGCCTCCTCCTCATGAAAAGCCCCTCAGTGATGTGTCGTGTGGATTTCACTCTGCTGTAAAGTGTCTTCTCGATAACTAGTGCATGTTGCAGCTCATAATGTTAATTCAGTAATATTCATATCGCACAAAGATCAGTGGACTTAATGGGGGACGGTACTGCTGAGCAAGCAATGCAATGGTTAAAAGTATTCATGTAGTGAAAGAAAGACATGTTTAACGGACTGTTAAATACTTTTCTGCATGCTTGGCCCTCTCTGCAGAAGCGACTTGCCACTTCTCGGAGCAGGCTCAAACAAAATGCAGATCCTTTTTTTTGCCTCGAGTCGGTTGGTAACTGTCCAATCCGAGGGGAAGAGATCCTGGTTCTTTAAGCGATGAGAATCAGATCAGGTTGGACCAGTTTTTTTTTTTTTTTCTGTGTGTGTGTGTGTGTCAGCAGCTCCTTTAATACAGTAGATTTGGGAAACCACACACACAGAGTGCTGTTTGAGAGCCCCGGGCATTTGGTTTTGTAGATTTGACAGACAGAGGGGAAAAACCAGGAACCGGTTTGGGGGATGTCAGTGCTGCTCCAACGGAAAAAAAAAAAAAAGAAAAGAAGCGATGGGACAAAGTGATTGCCATAGCTAAATGTATGACCGCTACGCCACTGCAGCACTTTTCTCAAACATTCACATTAACAACTGAGCTTTTTCTTTCTCTTTACACTTTTTACTATTTTGAGACCATTAGTTCTCGTTTTCGGGACCTCTTACTCTTACTCTTTTCCGGCACTTGGGTATTAGAGCTTTCAAGTAGAGTTAAGTGATCCTTATTTATACCCAAAGAGTTTCATTTCATTCATTTGCTTATTAGCCCGAAGGGATATTTGCAATGAACACGTTTTTTTTCATCTAGTTATTTTTTAACAGCTTTTTATTAACTGGCATGCAAACAGGTGATATGTCACCTGAAAAAATAGGAAGCTGCTTTTTTTTTCTTTCTTTTTTTTTAAGTTTGATTCTTTCCCGTGAAAGAACCAGACAAATAGTGAAATGCAGACCAGAGCAAAGTGGATTCAGTATTGCAGAACTGCTTCTTAGAGTTTGGTACTTTAAGACAAAAAAATAGTTTGATTGTTTTTTTTTCTTTATTGTTTGATTCTAATTGTGAAGTTTTCCCTCTTTCGGTGGATGTGAAGCTGAAATTGACAGATTGTGAATGTTGGTTCTCATTTTTCAGTAGTTAAAGCTCCTGTGAGGATTTTTTATATTCTTATCGAACAGACTTAAACTAATATTCATCCTTCTTTATGAACTCTAAAAGTGAATAAAACCATCAGTATAAAGTTTTTTCCTTTATAAATATTTTTAATGTCTGAAACTGCTGCTACAGGGGAAGGTGTCAGATGAGGCGTTACACAGCATGCTGCAAAAGTTGACTTTTTCTTGCAAAGATTCTTGATGAGTGAGCGTCTGTGTCCACTAATGCTGTTTTTTGTTTTTTTTTGCTCGCGCAGCACCCACTTTCTATTCAAAACAATAGAAGTGCTCCGCATCCTTGGCGTTAGAAAATCAAGTTTTATTTGTTGCTGCGCTCTCAGTTGGAAATAGTTAAACTTTTGGAATACTGCAGCGCTCGTCAATGTCAGTTTTCCTCAACGACCAATCACAATCAGGAAGGGGCGGGGCTTCTGATATCAAATATGTCAACCGCAATGCAGAGGGTAAACATATCCGTTTACAAGAGTACAGTTTCAACATGTACGTTTTCTTTGTTGGAGTTCCCTTTAATAAAAGCAAATATTAAGCATAGATCCATTTACTACCGTGGAGGTGCAGTGAGATGACTTTCGTAACCTAGCAACAGTAAGCGCCCATGAAAAGTGCTTTGAGATTGAGGTTGTGCACTGCCAGTGGGAAAAAAAAGCTGTTAATGGACACAGGCCCAAATACATTCACTATTAAATACAAAGCTGGGTGTGATTTTTTTTTTTTTTTTTTTAAACCACATGACCCATGTTCAGGTCAAAATGTAGCAAAGAGATAGGTGGTACCAGTTTGTCCACAGGGGGCGCCAAAATCCACAAAACACTAGAGTTCCTCACAGGAGTTTTGAAAGAAACTTTGAAGTGTTTCATGTTTATTTATTCTGTCTGTAAACTGTAACTCTTTTTCTCATTATGTAAGGAGAAGAAGCGCAGACAGTGCGACAGGCCGTACACATTGAATGTGTGAACATTTTCAGAATTTTAGTTTGCCAGATGCTGCTCATGTGCCTTTATTAATGTAGACGTGTTAGACTTAACAAGAGGTCTTAGATCATTATTTGCTTCTGCAACTTGACAAAGTTAGTTTACACTTCTGGAAATGTTCTGCTGTTTATAGAGCAGGGAGTGAATGTCGTCGAGTTTACACAGAAAGTGGTGAACAGACCTTTGTTCAAAGGAGTGGTTGGGTAAGTGTCTAGACCAAAGGAATCTGAAGAGAGAGCTTCATTTGAACATTACATATTAGTAAGAGTTTGATTAAAAATTGGAGAAGTATTTTTGTCTTTGTGGGAGAACAGCCGGGTTCTGTGCTTAGAGAGAAAGCAGCAGCTGGCTCAGACGTGCATGTGATTGATCCCTGGAGAAAAAGTTCTGAGGAAATTGGATCAAATTTGGATCATTTTTATTTTTGTTTCATCATCAGTTCTGTCCTGTTGTAGGAAGTCATTGTTAAGTTCAATAAAAAAGTTCACCATTGGCCGAAGATTAGTGTGTCTTTATTTAATGTATTCAGTGACTCACTGTGGTGGGAAGTGGACATGCTGGCATGGCAGGCATCTATTATCACAGCTATGTTGCCAAACTAAAATATTTACATCCAGATTAAATCCTCGGAGCAGGAGCTTACACGTTAACAGGAACAATCTCTCATTCAGTCTGTCCTCCCTGGTACAAGAAACCCAACCAGTCACTGACTCGATATGCTGATGAACGAGAATGTAAGCAATGATTGAGAAGGGTCAGTCGCTAAGAAACTGACTAACAAGCTTGTCATTCTTTGAATTCTACACACCAGTCAACCTGCAAGTATGTCTCTATGTGTCTCTTAGAGTCCAACATGTCAAAGAGCATAACTTAAAGAGGGAAAACAAAGATAAAATGTTGTTTTAAAATGTAAAAGAAAAAAAAGAATCTGAATGTTTCTTGCACATGATAGAGGGACTGTGTTGTCCTGGAGGCCTTTTTATTTGAGTCATGTTTTCTATAAACTAATTACTGCTGAGGCTGGCATGATTCAGACACTTGATTAGAATGGCCTGACAAAAAAAATTTGCCATCAGCTCTGCAAACACACTGAAATTGGGTTTTTGTGCTTTCATCAGTACAAATTTGCCCTTTTTGTCGGACGGGATGACAGTTCCTCCGTGTTGTGATGTGTGTCCCCAGTGGAGTGGAAATCAGGCAGAGATAAGGTCAGCCTGCTGGATGGGGGAGAAGAGGGCAGGTTAAGCTTTTTTTTTTTCCGCTGATGTGAGCGAGGATGAGGCGTATAAATTTAGAGCTTTCATCTTCACTTTAGTTCTTGCCTACCTGCTCCAACACAACACAACAGCATCTCAACACAACAGGTGAGGCCACAGCAGATGTTTCTCTCTGCTCTCTGTCTTTAACACATCTTTGAGGGAAGGATTTTTTTTTGCATCCTCGTTTGAGTCTTTTCTTCACTTTTTCTTCACAGTGAGTCCGTCATGGAAGCCGCCATATGCACCCTCGTCACCCAGTTCAAGTCGTACGCTGGGAAAGACGGATCCTCCAGCACCCTGAGCAAAGATGAGTTCCAAAACCTGGTGATCGCTCAGCTGCCCAACCATGTCAAGGTAAACCCTCAGGAGTTCTCCTGAACCTCAAAGCTTTCTAGTCTCTGTCAACTCCTTAATTAACGACCACTGGAAGGGAAAGACACTGGTTTATGATCTAACATTTATACAAGTCTGAAGCCTTTTTATGTTCTGTGAACTCCAGTTCAAGCATCATGTTTTACTGTGGATACATCACAAGTAACTCAAAAGACATCTTGCTGTTTCTTAGTTGAACAGAATGCTTTCTTTAAAATAGAGCTTGTTTTTTAATAAAGAATGTGCACTTTCATTACATGCATTATTGTCTTCTTCACATTCCCTTGGTTTTATGCAGGGGGGTTGATGTATGACTTGTCATGCTGCAACCACAGCTAATTTTCTTTGCTAATCTGCCAATTATATTTTCTATTCGAAGATTAATGTATAAACAGGAGTATAAAGTTTTAACATAAACAAATATCACTTTTTGATGTCCTGAACATGGTAACGTCTTAGTGTTTATTTTCCAGTGGAAAAAATGTAGCCTGTTAAAGTTCAGTAGTATAAAAAAGAAAAGTAAGTATAAACTGGAGCTGCACAATGGAGCAGTGGTTTGTTGCCTCACAGGGAGGAGGTTTGAATCCCTGTCAGCCAGTCTCTGTGTGGAGTTTGCATGTTCTCCCTGTGCACGTGAGGGTTCTCTCCAGCTTCCTCCCACAGTCCAAACACATGCTCGTTAGCTTAATTGCGTCTCTAAGATTGCCCGTAGGTGTGACTGTGAGTGAGGCTGGTTGTCTCTAAATGTCAGCCATTTGAGAGACAGGCCAACAGTCCAGGGTGTATGTAGCTGGGACTCGAATGGGAAAAGCTATATAGATGATGGATGGAAATATAAACTGAATTTAAGAAAATTTAACTATCAAATGTTGCATTGTGTTATTGACAAACTTATTACATTTGTCAACAGTTAACCTAAAATGTTTGAGTTTAATATTTGATGTCATAACTGTGAAAGTGGAGTGTACACAATGATGAATGCCACAGGAAGCAGACGCCTTTTATTTGTGCATTTACTGCACTTTTTAACAACATTATAACTATCAACTGTATGCATTTTATTATTGTACAGTAATGTGTAATATTGAATTCTTTATTGTACTTCTGAGGAACAAAGTTTGACTTGTATTTCCACTTCTGTCCACTGGTAATCAAACACAGAATAAACATGTACTTTTGGAGGATTTTATTATCATCAGAAAACTTTTGTTGTTTTAGCTGTTAATAAATGATACCACAGTTTTATTGTTCCTACAGTTAACCATTAGGTGGCAGGACAGTCTTGCAGAGTGGCTGATGATGTTACAGCTCAGAGTGATCATGTAATGAGCAGGGTATCTCTCCTCTCTCTCTCTCTCTCTCTCTGTTATCACCCATAGAATGCCAGCGACCCCCAGGCCATCGAGCAGCTCATGGGCTCACTGGACGAGAACAACGACGGGGAGCTGACGTTCTCAGAGTTCTGGCAGCTGATTGGAAAACTGGCGAGCAAACAGGGGGGCTTCACTCAATAAAAAATGTGTCTTTGAGCCTGATTGTGCAACATCAACCAATCGACTCAGTTTGATCCCTTCAACATTGTTTTATCACTTCACCACAGCCACATGTGTAACTCTTTAGTTAACCATTTCTTGAATGCAGGGAACTTTGAATTAAAGGGCGTCATTGTCCGTAAACCTCAGCCACCTACCTTATGTCGTCTCCTGTCATTCATTCACCTCATTATATGATGTCCAGCATGCAGTGTGTTTGAGCGGCAACCTTACTACCTGCTGCCTTGATTTAGGTGGACTTGTAACTCTATATGTGCCACCGCTGACACAGCTAAGACCAGATCTTGTTGCATACAGCTTCATAATGCGTGTACAAAGCTGCCCGTCCAAGCGTTAAGCATGCACTGATGCAAAAACAGAGGCTGGCCTTTACTGTCACTGTCTGTTAATGAGGACTCAGGTGTATCCCTTTCATTCTGCATCACTTTTAGCTGTGTCTTTTTTTTATATTGCTGCTAAATCTTGGGTCACTTTGTGTTCATTCTAATGTCTAGACAGAGTTATGTGTGCTGGCGTGCTCCCCAGCTGTTTTATAGCATATAGGGCTGCTTTAATTCTGTAGCAGAGAAGACGAAGAAGGTGCTGCATACAGGTTTTCAAAATGCGGATCTCTCCACAGATAACACAATGTGACCTTTGTATCTAAATTACACTCACCAAGGTGCCAGTGTGGGAGGGGTGGCACTGGGCAAATGAATCAACTACAACTCACAAATAGGGCACTACTCTTAGGCTGTGTGTATGTTATCTGTATGTAGTAGTCATTTCCCAGATAACCTCAAGGTAAGGGCCTGTATCTCAATTATTCATACGCAGACGTAATCTTTCGAGGGACTTTCAAAACTACACAGACTACAAAGACCTTTCAAGAATCTGGCAAGGCTGCTTTAACTCTTGCACCACTTTTTTTTTTGCCACCCACACTCATCTTTCCGGATGTTCCTTTCATTGAAGATTATTTTACTCTCATATTCCCAAAGTGACAGAGGGAACAGACTGACCTTCCAAAATAAAAAGGGCCTGATTTAAGGTTCTCACTTTTGTGGTCGTGAATTACGACTGATTTTTTAAATTTGTACACATTTTTTTGTGAAAGCCAAGAACACAGGGATGACTTTCCTGTAGTTTTCTTTCCACTTATCATTCCTTTTCTCTTACATTTCCAATGTGCAGGTTGTGAAAAGATTAGCACTTAGTAACAGCTAGATTTAAATGTGAAATATTTAGTATCTCCGCCCTGTCTCCTCGTCCCAGCAGATGAAGCCACGAGCCTGCCTAGTTGGCGTGAAAACGTGCAAATCACACATGACGTGAAACAGCTGGCCCATGAGCCAAAGATAATTCCAATAAAAACCCAAGTTTAAGTGTTTTGATACACTTTTCCTCCCTTTTCCTGAGAGTTTGAGCTATAGCGCTTTGCTCTTCCACATTCCCACTTCTCCCTCTCACTCTTCCAGGTACACGCCCTTTGACTTGTCAGGGGGGAAAAGTTTTAAGGGAAAGAAAAAAAAACCTAAATCACGGAAGAGATTCTGCTGTCCTACTAGTTTGGCAAGTTCTCTGGGCTCAAAGCGGCGTAGAAAGGCGGAGAAGAGGGCAGAAACTGAAATTTGCGCACATCTGTACACTTCGCTTGCACTGCGGACGGTATACGGTGAGTTGAATGCGTCTAACTGTGTTCTTTGGGCTTGTATCCTGCGTGAAGTATTGTATTTGTTCATCGTTTTTGCCACGTTTCGATAGACTCTTGCAAAGAGCCATCCCATGAAATTTGGCCGCGGGCTGACTGCGGGACAGTTTCAGTGACTTTAAGAGCTCAGAACTTTTTTCATTTAGCTCACGTTGCACTTTTACGAAAGAGTATAAGAGAATAGTCGGCAGAAATGTTGATTTGATTTTGATTTAAGTTTACTTGACGCTTTTATTGGGCGTCTATTACCATATGCTCCATCTCTCTCTCTCTCCATGTCTTCCTCTCTCGGAGGAAGATATTTGATATTTAGATGTAGATCAGTTGTCAAGTTGCTGATCAACTGCAAAAAGCCTATCAAAACTTCAAGTGACATAAGGTGACAAAGTATTGATCTTTGGTATAATATATCCAATGGATGTCCTTGTCGCGCGTTAGGGCGCAATTTGCGCAAAATCAACCTTTTGCGCATAGAAAAGGGAGGTCTACAAGAGTAACAGATTTCAACTCCGTTTATGACAACGCGTTGAAAATACTGTTTTTCATTACATCAAATGCTCGTGGTGAGGGATGATGAGTCCTGGCAAACGTGATGGCGTACGCGCCTCTGTATGTTCAAAACCTAGCCGAGGAATAGGATGTACGTCTGCTCACCGCAATTTACAGCCACAACCTAACTTGTTCCTCGTTTAATATTTTATGCCACGCCAGCGGTAGTATTGTCATTACTGTGCGCACATACCGGATCACATTCAGCCCGTTGGAAACGCAACACTCAATCTCCTTTGGGCTCTGGGGGGAAACGGGAAACCTCTGGTTGTAGGGCCTATATGTTTAATTATTTGCGCAGTTGTTGTTGTTTTTTTGGCCATTTAGAAGGAATTACGCAGGTAATTTTCCTTCGGAGTAGAACAAGCTGTGGCTGTGACGTGTTCTGTGATGCAGGTTTAAAAATCCATTTGCAGAATTGAGTTCACGTGCTGGTTCAAGCAGGCATCGCCACCTGAAGAAAGGTCACTATAGGTAAATAATGGATGTGAGAATGGACAGTCAAAGAATAATGTCTTTGCTGGGTGTTTTTAACAGGACACATATAGCCTGCTTAGGCCCGTGTGTTACGTTACTTCAGCTGAGGAGGGTGTGTCACAATGCAGGAAGAAGTCCCCTAAAGTCCCTACGAATCAAATGCTATCTCTATGATATAACTAATCACGTTTGATTCTTTAAACGTGACTCAGGGATTGAATTTATAAAAAATATGTGCCAAATCAAACCGCTTCCTTTTGAATCTATGTGTATATCTTCATTACTATTGTTCAATGGCAGCTGTGTTGACAATCAGATCAGATATGCTTCCTGTATTACATTCAAAACTGTGATTTTATTGTGTTCATGTGGTGGCAGAAAGGTGCAGAGCAAAGTGACAGTTAGAGATCAGTGGGTCAGAGAGTAAATCCTGAAATCTGAGGTTTTAATGGCTCTATGCCACAGTGTAGTGTCAGAGCTCCTCTGTCTCTCTCATGTTATAATGAGACTGGGGACATTGCTTGGCTGGATGGTGCTTGAGTGCAACACGCACATCAGTAATTGATATATTAGTTTGCAGCCTACAAATGACCCATCAGCTAACATGGGTTTAAGACGGCATCCTGTTCAGAATCTACAGGTTCGTTCAGCTAACTGTTGTTTGCTCTGCTGTGTTTGTGTTACTTATAGGCTGACAGACAAGTATGGTCACCTGGAACATTTCCCTGCACTGCTTTGGGGCAAACTAGCTCGGAGTTGGCCCTGTAAATTCCTGTCTAAGTGATCTCCACACACAGCAATGAGTGGAATTCCTGCAAAGATGTGTCACCTATTGGCATGTTCTATATTTTGAGCAGCTTGTCTATACATCTGTCAAGAGCATCATTTGTGAATACTTCTTTGTCTAATTCACTGTAAACTTGTAAACTTGTAAATGTGCATGTTTTTTTAACTTTTAGTGATTCACTACTGTGGGTGAATAAAAAGCCTTGAAATCCTTAGCCTATAGGAGTGTTACCAGTACCCAAATACCATAACCAATAAGCAAAAACAACACTGGTTTCTGGTTAACTAGCAATTGACGATAATATAACAAAACAAACAAAAAAATAAAAATAACTTTATTTATATAGCACCTTTTAAAAACACAGGTTTACAAAGTGCTTTGACAAACAGCAAAAACAAGAACAAACTAAACCAAACACAGAAGAACATAAGAAATGCAAAATACTAAAAATAATTAAATACAATTCAACAGAAAAGAACCCATAGTGCACGATACCCAACAGACATATATAACCCGACCATCACAAGAACCATCATAAGAACCCAGGCAACACAAGAACCCAACAATATGAGCTGAGACCAAGAGGACCAAACATTTAAAAAGATGTAAGAAACTAAAAGAGCTAAAAGCAATAACTGATTGGCCCTTGCAGAAAGTGTAATGTTTGTCAAAGCTAGAAAAATGGCCGAAAAAAATAGGTTTTCTAACACTGTTATTACTTTCATTGCAATAAAACTAGAGGTGTATTACTTACATGAAGGTACTGGACATTCTATCAGGGCATCAGAACATCTCTTATTATGAAGCCTCAGTGTCAATTATCTATTTGTGTGCAACAGTGTTAAAAAGAAAGGACAGCAAGGTGAGAACAAGAAGGAGACAGAGAAGCAGGTACAGCATGTAAGAGAGAAAGAAAGACAGGCAGGGAAAAAGACAGAGAGAGAGAGAGAGAGGGAGGACTAGGTAATCCCTTGAGTAATCTGAGGCCCAGTCCTCTTGGTCGCTTCGGGTGGATCGGATGACCTATCAAAGATCAGAACTTCCATTGTGCATCAGGGCTCGTCTCTCAATCAGACTCCCTCTCGCTCTCCTCACTTATCTCACGTCACCGTCCCCTCCCTCACCGCGGCTGCAGACGACACACGTGAAATGAAAGGCCTGGCGGGGACATGCAGGAGATCCTCTATTTCATTTTCCACACGATGTGCCTATCGCTTGAATGTGTTTTGAATCAGGGGCATCCTGGAACTTCCTGCCTTACACCGCAAGAGCAACATAAGCAACAAGTTTTAATCACTCCTGCCATATTATCTAGCGATGAATCAATCCACCTGTCAATCTGACTCACACCACTGTCTTCACCTTTTTCTTTTCTTTTCCCCAGACAGAGGAGTCATGGAAGATGCCATTCAGACACTGGTGAAGGTCTACCTAAAGTCGTCCAAGGGAAAAGAGTGTCTAGGAAAGAAAGATTTCCAGGGCCTTGTTAAGGGCCAGCTCTCCAACATCCTCTCGGTTAGGAAACTTTCATTAAACCTCACTGAAATGTTACCAACACATTGTTTAATCACCTCACAGAAGAGCACACAATAGTCTTACATTTAGAGTTTTTTCCTTACTTATACCAGTAATGGTATCAGCCAATACCAGTATCTGTATTGGCCTGCTAAAGATTAGGTATCTAGTGTCATATGGTAGACCAGTTCGTGCCCCAATCCACAAACATTTATTTAATAAATCAAGTGGTTAGAGATCATATACCATCTGGAAACAACAAACAACAACAGCTCTATGTTTGCAGATGTTGTTCACCAAAGATGGCACATATGATGTGTATTTTTTTTTTAAATCCTGCTGGTTGAAGTCAAGGCATCAAAAATAATTAAAGGGCATCTGCACCTCTCTACTTGCATTAGCACTGATCAGTTTTTGTTGAGCTTTCTAAACATGAGCATTGTTACCAAACGTGGAGTAAAGAGGAAAGTGATCTGACATGATAGAATGACATTCACCAGCATTATAATGCAAATAGAGATACTGCACGAGGGTCATTTACTGATTGTTTTTTTGGTAATTTATCCAGTAAGAGTCCAGTTGGAGTTACTAATCATCATGCTTCATTGTCTTATTATGATTGTTTGTGCCTTCAACCTAGGATGCAGACAGTAAGGAAGCAGTCAACAACTTGATGACCCAGGAGTTGGACGCCAACCAAGACGGCAAGGTCGGCTTTGAGGAGTACATGCAGCTGGTCGGATACCTGGCAGTCTCGCTCAGTGAGGAGCGTACTCGCGCCAAAGAGGAACCGGCCCAAAATGCTGCGTCTGAACAAGTGGTACTAACCACCCCAGACAAAGAAGAGGAGAAGCCGGAAGCAAACGCAGAGGCAAAGGATGAAGCTAAACCAGAGGCGAATCAAGAGCCAAAGGCAGAAGCTACCGCTGAGATAAAGGTAAACGCAAACGCAGATGGAAACATAGAAGTAAAAGTAGAAGCCAAGGCAGACGGGGAGACTGAGCCGGAAGCAACAAAGGAGAGCCCAACAGAAGCTGCGGCGACGGCGGTGGAGGCAGCGGCGACGGCAGCGGCAACGGCGGTGGAGGCAGCGGCGACGGCAGTGGAAAATGCTGTGAACGAAGAGGAGAAAGCGGAGGAGACAGAAAAGGTGGAAGACGCTGCTAAGAAGCTGGCTGCAGCTGTGGAGGGAGAAGTGGAGAAGATTGAAGAGGCGACCTCATAAGGGACAATCAATTCTTTCACCAATGATCACACCCACACGCTTACACACAACACTACACACAGCACGGGATTAATGCCAAAATAAAATGAAAGCCACTAAAGATATTCAAATGAAAAAAAAGTTTTGATAAAAGCCCAAACACTACAAACCCAACTTTGAAGAAACCCACTTATTTTTATATGATTAATAACACATGTACATGACAGATGAATTATTGCTTAGTACTACCACTATGTTCATATGTACAGCATGACCATCCCACTATATAGCACATTTACCTCATGATATTCAATTATGATTGCATGCAGACGTTCATATCATATGCATGCCATATCCCTGTGAAATCTTTTCTGCTAAATATGATTTACGTGCAGCAGCACACTGACTAATGTGGCCAATGTATGTTAACACACCACTTAAGCCAAGATGTTTTGTAATCCTCTCTGTTTCCATCTTTTTTTTTTATCTGGGTCTTTTCAACTTTGCTATGCTACTTAGCTTATTGTACATTTGATCTTGGTTAAACAGCAGCAGTGTATATCGTGCTAAGCAGTAATGGCTTAAAACATTAGTTGGACTTGTGGGGGGAATGGTTTTCTTGTCGAGAGCTAGATAAGAGTGTCAACAAAACTCTTATTAGCCATTGAAAATGAAGTCACTGTTAGCAGCTGGTTAGCAAGCATCAGAACTGTAACAAGCTAACTGTAACAAGCTAGCCTGGCTACATCCAAAACTAAAAAAAATCAAATTTTCAAGCACCTCTAAAGCACCCTTATTAGCACATTATATCTTTTTTTATTAATATAAAAACTAAGAGCTTTAGAGGTAAGCTAGCTGTTTCCCCTTGTATATGCATGTGCTAGACTATGCTAATAAGCAGTAGCTTATTTGCTCATTAGCCCTGTTCAGACAGTCCATTTAAGTTGCAATATTTACTCCACTGTGATGTCTAGCCTTCAATATTGAATGTCACAGAGGTGTGTGTGTGTGTATGTGGAGCTACTGCTTTTTCCTATCACCAATATTACGCCATTTTGGAATTAATATTAATGCAAGAATGCTTAATGGCGACAGAGCTTAGCCTATAAATTACAACATTTACAAGCTACCCTACAGCAACCTATTCAACTTGTCATATCTTGTTTCTTTAATCTGTTTAAAGCCAGAGTAAACAAGATTAAACTACTCAGTTAAACCATTTTAAAGAGTAAGCTGTAGACTAGCCGTTCCCATTTTACCAGCGTCTATGCTGTATGCTAATCCATTGCTTAGCTAGTCATTTCAACCGTCAAGATATGAGAGTGGTGTAAATCTTGTCGTCATTTGGTAAGAAAGCTGGTCAAAGTTTTAAAGGCAAGCATTCTTCCTGTTTCAAGCATTTATGCTAGTCTAGGTTGTCACCGGCTGTAGTTTATTTTCTACTACACAAATTTAAGAGTATAGTATCAATCTTTTCATCTGACTCTCGACAAGAAAAAATGGCTGATCTTTTTCCCATAAGCTCATACTATTCCTATGTGGGCTGCATGAAAAATCTGTCAATAACACTATTTTTTTTAACATTCTCATATTTGAATTCACATTGCTATGGAGCTGATCTGGCATGACAATAAACAAATTGTTTTGCTGAAGCTTTGCATTACTTTAGCTCATCTTCATTGTGTACTCAGTGCCCCGCCCTCTTCTCTTTTTTTCCTTTTAATCCACTTTATGGGCTCTCTCTTTTTTTTTTTGAATTTCGCAGATAATTCACTTTGCGTTGAGCCTACAGTTTATTTTCTATATTTGTTGTCGACCAGGGATTAGGATCTTGAAGATCAGGTGTGGCCCTTATCTAAATAATTAAGTTTGAAGAATGGAATCCACACCAAGAGGACCCCTACTGTCAAAGGGGAACTTAAAAATAGTCTCATGGGAGTGGGCTGGTGACTAGAGGAGCAGGTCAGAGAAGGTGTACATGCAACCGAATCCACCTGAATTAGAAGAGCAAGACAACAAACACAAAGGTGTCAATAAACGCATCTATAGTGGCTTGGTAACCGTTTTTATTTCAAGTCATTTGAAATACAATAAGTGCATTTTTACTTGGTAAAACCATAGGGCATTTAGATGGTCTGTTTCTAGCTCTTTGATCTCGAAGGTGCTGGATGGTACAGTAGTTTTCTTGCATTATTCTTGGTAGTATACTTGATTGAAGTGCCAGAAACTTGACCGTTATTTTGTTGGCTCTCATCAAATTATCTCATTGTTACTTGTTGGGGGTTTTTACTTGTTCAAGCTTGTGTGTTTGTTTATCGGCCACACCCTCATGTTGCTTAAAGACCCTGTTTGACCTGCAACTGGATACTTGAGTCCCAGTCATTGGGAAACAACTGGATTAGGCACTGGATGGGTAACACACCCTGGGAGACAAACAATTACATGAAAGTAATCCTGGGCTCGAGTGATCCTGCCTATCAGACGAGGTGGTAGTGTCAGAGAGTTTGTTGTGCTTTTAGTTGAGCAAAAAAAGTATACTGAGCCATCTATATGAATCTATACAGTGTGATCGTTTAAAAAAAGGCTTATACATAAAAGGTTGCATGCTATCAGAAATTTATTTTCTAGTATTACCATGGTATTGTAATTATCAAGGCTAGTATTTTAGTTTGAAATGGCCTCTTTATATTTAATTTTTCTTAACTAACTCTTTCCTGTTTGGACCACTATGGAGATCACTTGAAGATGTGCTTCTTTGTCACATTATATGCAATTTGTTAATTACAATTTAATGATTTGTAAATTGTCTCATCATCAATAATGCAGCCATGAGAAAAAGGCTCGTGTTGCAGCCCTGCTAGGTTATAGAACTACTTGGCTATAGCCTGCTTGGTGTTTAAGGCGACCCACGTTGTTGTGGGCACTCGACGAAAATGTGTACCTTATGCACTGTAACAGCACCTGGCACTTCAAACTGCTCAGCAGCAAAATGGGCAAGACAAATAAACCCGAGTCACGTGGTCGCCCTGCCTCGCCTCACTGCGACACTCCCATTGCAAATACTCATTTACACACACTCTGCACTGCCTCCATTGCAACGCTGTGTTTCCTGCATGCTTTTTTTACTAACCCACGTACAGGGCTGCTTAAGCCGTACTACTCTTTGTCTTATAAAAACCTATCCTCTCATAAAAGGTGTTTTCTTACCATGGTACTTTCTGTGAATAATAGAAACATATCACACTACATCCAGATGTCTGTTGAACACAGGCCTCAGGCGCTTACATCTTGTATATACTGGCAAGATAAATTCATTATTTGCTATTCCCAATACGCCAGGCGTGTTTTGTAAATCCTTGTGTTCTCTCTGTGCGTGCAACACATCATTATAAAGCATAGCATTGTAAGAAGAAACTGGATAAAGTTGAATTTACTCTGCAGACTATAGCTCACCTGTACTACCAGCAGATTGAGAGTGAAGAAACCTGGGTTAAACGATGGAAATTCTTATATCTCAGCTAATGCTTCCTACTAACCTATTTGGAATGACAGATGGGGAGAGTTATGAGAAGTGTTTTTTTTCTTCTTCAATAGGTTGAAACTGTCTGCACAATTTTGTAACGGTCCCAAAGTGTAAACCCCACCCAACTTTAACCCCGCGTAGGTTATTAAAAACATGCTGGAATGCAAAACAGCAGATTTGCAGCCGGGGAGTGTTTGCAGCCACACAATACGTCTCATTCATTCTGCGACACAGTTGATGAGAACAAAGCCTGTGTCAATAAAATCCTCTTGAAAGTTGAAATTGTACATACAAGTGTATGGACGGGCTTTAAAGGCCCAAAAAATGTTTGTGATCATGGGACCATTCCCAGGATGCAGTGCGGGCGTGTGTCACTTTGTGTGGATGTTCTTTTGTTTATTTCCTGCCGACAGTAGAGGGTGTGTGTGGGGTTTAGCAGTTGGACTCATTCCAGTCCACTATGTCCAGTAAACTCCACTATGCTAGGATTTCAATTTAATATGTTATGCTGTATCATTTTTTGCTCATTCTAACATGTTTAAAGGCTATTCATGAATAAAAAACTGTGACATTTACATATTTTGTACTTGTGGCTTTGTGTTTGTATTTGGTGTGGGCGAGAGGATGGGGGTGGGGAGGGCAGCTGTTGAGAGAGTGAGATGAAGGGGGGATGCAGAAACTGAAGCAGAGACTATGTAAGTTGGTGAAGGAGTTGGGTGGCGTTGGAGGAGGAGGAGGAGGAGGAGGAGGAGAGGGGCTGGTGATATTTAAGCCACTGGAGAACTCTCTCCCCATCCATCTCTGCCTTGGCTCAGTCCCCTGCACCTGTTCAGAGACAAAAGAGGCCCTCCATCAGCACTCAGGTAAGACAGACGGACAACTTGCTCTGCTGTACTTTCTCCTCCGCATCTGATGAAGGTTAAAGTAAAGAAAATTAAGAGTGTTTTATCAGGGTTTCAACTAAATGACATAGCAGTTGGATCAAAAAAAGAGTCCAGCAGGGAAACTGAAAACAATATGTGAGTCATTTCAACTTTTTATATCCTTCTAAAGATAAGGTTTACTTCTGGGTGATTTGATTCTTTAGAGAAAAACATGACAGGATTTTTTTTTTAAAACATAAAATAAAGCAAAGCAGTCTTTATAAATGTATTAACTTAGAACAAAATATATGAAATATGGGAAGAACAAATAACAAGCATGCCATGGATTTAACAAAATAAAAAGTAAATGTATTCAATGATTCAAAACTTTAATCAAGCCTTGAAAGTCATTGTGGTTTCCATCATTTCAAATGATGTCAAAATATAGAAAAAAAAAGCGCAACTAAAACATTTCTAAATCAATGCCACTAATTACCCTTTCGTACTCCAATTCTTTATCACCATACTGTACATCACTTGATGTAATAGATTTGACTCCAACCTTAATCTGACATAGTGCATATGCATTATTACCATACTCCATATTGTGTTACTGACAGCATTTTGGTCTCCATGGTTCCCTTTTGTATCATGACAGATGAGCCCTATAGATTTTCCAGTTAGCCAGTTCGGTGTCCACTCACTTCATCTTTTGTCTCCCCTGCCTGCAACACTGACCTCTCCGACAATGACAATACTGGGCAGCATGATGAGAGGCGATAATCGGTGACATGAGTGTCTCTGTCTCCTTTTGTATGAGCTAATAGTTAATGAATCATGCAAGGGGGGTAGATTAACGAATTGATTGTGTCCTGCTGTATGTTGTTTGGGTTAGACGGAAAATAATGCCCAAGACTTTTATTTTACACAAGTAGATCCCTCATTTTAAATAGTATAAATGTTGGCACCTCAAATTGCTGCGTCCCTTTATTTCATGGGTATTTCTTCTTGGGTATCCAATTTGGATGATAAGGCTGCTCAACATTTTTCACACTGAAGCCGTATAACTGATTACCGCAGTGCTAATTGCTACATGGATTACTAAAATTGGCTTTGTAGAGTGATAACACAACATGTGGACAATTTTTTAAAAAAAAGCTCAAATGTTCTCTAAATACCTTTTTCTTGCATTTTTCTAACTCTGCATCATTGACAGTGACTTATCTGTGTCTGTTGTGTACACAGTCTCTCCACCAGTCCAGCACAAGAAGCTCCAAGATGCCGGACACAATGTGTGTAAGATTGTTCAAAAAGCTTTCCCAAAAAAGCTCTCCTCCATCTTTCCATCCAAAACCTCTGAAATGTAAAAAACCCAGTAAGGTCACGCGCACATCAGTGACCACGCTAATGCCTTAAACCAGGGTCAGTAATAGCCTCTGCGCGTGCCACACACACGCAGTGGGTTATTCAACCCCTTTAGTGCCGAAACGGGAAAAACCTCTCTGCTTTTGTTCCAACTATCTGCCTGTCAAACTGTCACTTTGTCTTGGAGGTGGCTTCAACCTCAGCATGCTATGTGGCCGCACATGCAGCTGGGGGCTGGAGCGGGCATATCGCAGCGGCGTCTGACCTTTTGACCTCATACTTTTTCCAGCATGTCCAAGGAGCCCAGTTCCAACCTGGAGAGTGCCATGCAGATGCTCATAAAGACCTTCCACAAGTACTCTGGGAAGGAGGGCGACAAGTACACGCTGAGCAGAGGAGAGCTAAAGGAGCTGCTACTAGAGGAACTCGGGACTTACTTAGGGGTAAGAGAAGGACGCAAATATGTGACTGTGCACTAAATACACAACACACAAGTGAAGGAATGCGCTCACATACTTCAGACACACAAGTTCAGACAGGCTTGTGCAGGGGCACACATTCTTAACCCTCTCTCTCTCTCTTTGTGCCCTCCACTGACAGACCTCCAAAGATAATGAAGCAGTCGAGAAGGTGATGAACGACTTGGACGCCAACAACGACGGGGAGGTGGACTTCACCGAGTTCATCATCCTGATGGGCGCCCTCACCGTCGCCTGCAACGACTTCTTCCTGGAGTTCAAGACAGACGAGAAACCGAATGACGAAAGCAAAGGCAACTCAGCGGAGAAGAAAGATTGAATCAGTGCAGGAGGGAGAGAGGAAAGAGGGGGTGGTAAAAAAAAAAAGGGAAAAGCAGAGGAGGAGGGGGAGGAAGGGGAAAAAGAACTGTAAATCAGGAGAGATAGAGGAAAAGAGTTTTGTCTTATGCAATTTGTAAACACTAAAACTACACGAGGGGAGCGGCCAAGCAGATAGTTTGTGGGTTTTCAGAAAAACGAGGCGTTCAGAGGGAGTAAGTGTTTGTCATACCACAGATCTTCCGCAGCTAGCAAGCTAGAACAGGTTATACTTCAACAACTTTTAACTCAAATATAGCAGTTTGGACATTTTAGAAGAAGGCACTGAAAGGAAAGGAAGTCAGATTTCTGCAGGAAAATTCACCGGTATGTTGGGAGGAGTTCTTGCACACAGAATAATTTGTGAAACTATATTAAGTTACAGATTATCATATTATTGTATGTACTCAGTGTTTAACATTAGAACATGATTTCCCCCTTACTTGCGCCTGTTTTGTAATCCTATTAGGTAATAACCTATGCATTCCTCAAGATATTAAACATGGCATTTAACCAACTTTTGAACGAGTCGTGTTTGGTTTCATACACTCAGAGATCCTTCATGCTGCTCGAGCATTTGTCCACATGTCGGACATGAATCACTGCACCTGGAAATCAAGTTGAATGGTGAGGAGAGAAACAATGTCAGCAAACTGTGTGAGTGAGTGAGTGAGTGTGCGTTGGTGTGTGTGTGTTTGTGTGAGTGTGTGTATGTGTGTAAGTGTGTATTGGGGATTCCCACAGAGTAAACTGCTCCAGCTCACACATCCTGCCAACAATATCCTGCAAGTCTTGTTCCACTAGATATAAGCTGACCCAGATGTTTGACTTGGATCTGCGTGCAAAAAAAAACTTCTTCAAAAGAGAGAAAGAGAGAGAGAGGAGAAGAAGATAGAGGGGGGAAAAGAGAAAGCAAGGGTGTGAGGGAAGATAAAGGGTGTTTTTGTGTGTGCATGTGTGTGTGTTTGTGAATGAAGGAAAGGCTTCATAGGCGCGGGGAGAGAATCCAATTTATGGAGAACATTAGTCAAGTATGTAAGTTGGAAAGCAGTAGTATAATCACACAGGAATGCTCCAGTTTCTGTGACTCTAAGCAAACGCTGTGTCCCTCAGTGTCTCAAACACACACATCAGTAAAGCGACACATCTTCTTCCACCTCATTACATTTTACAGCTGCTCGTCACTTTCAAAATATGAGCAAGGAAGAAATGTTGAGCAGCTGAATCATAGATGCTCTCCTTTCTTTACCCTTGGGTGTGATTGTCCTCGAACACTGATGAGTACGACCGCCTTCATTTTGTACCTTTTGGCAACAGAAAAGAAACTCATTCCAGGTCAGCCAGTGTTTATGGGCGTGGTTCCTAAATGCTTTCATTTCTCAGCCATGCTGTTTTCTCTACACACGCCTTCTGATTGGACAGTTTGAATATTTGAGCTGAAAGTGCCCGGCTTTGCAGAGGTAAACAATTCAAAACAAAACAGTGTCCATGATAACATAAAACCTGTTGTAGCCTGAAGGGAAACAAATAACTTTTTTTCCGACCGTTGACTTCTGTTACCTATACTTTCTCACTTCAAAGAACCGGTGAGACTGCTGCAGGACAGAAGAAAGAAAGAAAACAGGACAGAAACATTTTGTCAACAAGAAGCAACATTTCTAAAAAGAATAAAATATGAGCTTTGAAAGCCATTTTTGCCAGGTTCAAGAAAAATGAAATGATCTTACATGGAAGCTGGTAAAACTGTTTTAAAAGTCATGACAAAAAATATTAAAAGTAAGAAGTATAACTTGAAGCATAATATACTAAAATCACTAAATCTGCACAAGTTGGATTATTCTAATACATTTTCAATACAAATGTGTCAATGTTGCATTTTAATTTCATTGCTTATCAAGACATAGTTAGACTTTGTCTTCCCTGCCCTAGTTTATATCACTATCTAGTATTGCTTAGCCTTAGGATATTTTATTGCTTGTTTTATTATCTCTACTCTATTTTATTTCCTACTGCTGTGTGGTGTGAAGAGCAATGGTAAAACTGAACTTCCCCCCGGGATTAATAAAGTATTTCTGATTCTGATTCTGATCTGGGATGGCTAAATGCTAAAATGTGGCTACTTATTGATTGTTTTACACAATATAGGGGAAGCCACTTCCTAGCTAAAAACAACAAGATAGGTAGTTTCTGAATGCTAACAAATGCAAGCTTTACACAAAACAATATATAAAAGGAAGATTTCTAGCTTACATTACTGCTTGTTAAGTATTTGAATGCTATCATTGGTTGTTGTCTGATGGTAGCTAATGGATTAGCCTCTGTTATTTAATCTTGAAATATGGCTTAGTGGGTCTCTAGTCCACTCTCCAATAACTTTTTAGTTGCTGATCAATCAAGAACAGGTGGTTGTAATAAGCTTGTATCCCTTTTGTGTTGTGTTATGTAAAACATGTAAGCCAAGTAGCTTCCAAGCTAATAGTAGTTTAAGCTAGGAAGTGGCTGTTGCTAGCATTGATGTGGTCTGATAATTAATGATTAAATATTTGTTTTTAACTTGAAATATTGGTCGATTTTATCCCTCTTAACTATTCTTTGATTATTTTTTTTCAGAATTTTTTGATGTGTAACACAAAAATATCCATCCAGACAATTCCAAGCTAATCAGGCTGGTGAGGCTGGTGGTAGTATTAGCTGTGGTCTTGTGGTAACAAACATGATCAAATATGTTGTTGGGAGATTAAGTATGGTCCCATTTCCCTTGTTTTTTTCACTATTCATTCCATTGAGAAGTGGTGACAGAACTAGGTTTTATGAAATCCCCTTATTAATTAAAGCTATTTGCAAACTAGCCTTTTCAATCACACAGGGACAATGAATAGCTCTAGGACATCCTGCGAACAGTATCTAAAACTACTCCTGACCTTACCAGGTGAGCTGATTCAAACTAAAAGGCAGGAGTCTTTGTTGATGGATCGCACATGGCAGGCGCTGCTACTCTGTGTGAGCAAAGGAGATGAGCAACACAAAGCCGGCCCGTGTCACTGGCACCCACCCTGAAGCAGCAGATAAGGAACACTTCGGTTACCAACAGATCAGGTCAAGCGACACCAAGATGTCAAGCCACCATGTCGATCAGACAGAGTCAGGCAGCGATCACGCCAAGCTGCCATGCAAGCCTGTGAGGGGGCAGCGATTGTATGAGAATAGAGTGGCATACATGTGGGACAGGAATGAGATTATTCATTCAAGTATACAGTAGCAAAGGTGGCTCAAGGTCTATATTGTGTGATGATTAATTCCTTTCCAGGTGTAGCTGGATCGCTCTTGGGGAGAATTTGAGAAGGCATGCTTTCCTCAGGTTCATGAAATCCATCTTGACAGAAGACCGCAGGGAGACCTTATGGCCGCAGCTCAATGCCAGAGAGGAGACAGGAGACATATGAATTACAAGGGCCTGGGACTGTTAATTCATAAAGATCACGCTTTGATACACCAGGCAGTGATGGAAAGCAACTAATCACATTTCCACAAGTCCTGTTCTCAATACAGTTTTGAGTTACTTTGAATTTACATGAGTATTTATGTAATGCTACTTTATAATAATATAAAACCGATGAAAGCCTTAAGCAGACATGCATCCAAACATTTTATATACATTGGTTTATAGAGAATGAGTCACTTCTGGTTGTTGTCTGGTATAATCAGTGTTGCAAAAGCAAAAAACTAACAAAAATAAGCTTGGCTTGCCTCAATTGTCTGGGCAATGGCAGCATGGCATGTTGTGTTCTGGCCTCTTAAAGTGACCCGCCAGATCACCAGAAAACACTCCCACAGAAGAAAAAAAAAATGTGTAATCTCAAGAGATAATAAGATAAATGTATCTTTTATAATGGGAAAACCAGCTTTGTTACCCTGAGATAACAAGTTGAGATTTCAAGAAAATAACTGGAAATTAATTTCTTATCATGGGGAAATTCAGTGAATAAAATGTATGAATCCATATCTGCTTCGGGCTTCCCTTGATGCTGCACAAAACAAAGAAAGATAAAACTCAACAATGAAAACTCCTTTTTGTTGTTGAACATTATACTTTACACTCCACTCATTCATTCATTTGTCTCATGAACATGAAGAGGTGCCTGACCCTGGACTAAACTACTGAACAGTAAAGTAGCTAGCTAGCTAGCCTACATCGACACCTTCAACAACAAAAGCATCTACTCATGCCCAGATACTTTTTTTTCTGTAGAGTAGTCTTTTATTTGTAAGTTCAATGAAAACAATACTCAAATTTAACTTTACCTCACTCGTTATTGAGTTGTTTTTTTAGCTATCTTGAAGTATATTATTTGATGCTAAGCAGAGGAGAGTCTCTTAAGTAACCTGCAAAAGCTTGCAGCCAACACCTAGCCTATACGCTATGGGCTAACTGATGACACAATATAAGACAGGCCTGAAAGATAGTGATGTACGTCGCTTTGGATAAAAAACGTCTGCTAAGTGAATTGTAGAATTGTAGAATTGTAGAATTGAAAGAAGTGTCTGGTTTTAGAGTAACGAAACCCAACCTGTGGGTTACTTGCCTTCATAAATTAAACCTCAAACTCTCCTTGGCACCAAACAGTGAAAGTGTCCTCCACAAGGTTCAAGGAGAAACCGGTGACAGACAGATAACGGCCTCAGATAACAGCGACTTGAGTGAGGAAAGTAAAGGAGAGGGCGTAAGAAAAGGAGACACTGAGACCGAGATGGTGTCAAATGCTCTTTTTTATCCTTCACCCTTGACATGGGACTCCTTGTGTGGTTTAATGCTGCATTTAGCTCAGATCTACACATTGCAAGTTTATCAGATGTTTGTCCTCAACATGATCCTCCACTTAAAACCTAATCTCCGCACCAGACCGTTCCTCCTTACCTTTTCACCCTCTCAGCTAGCATCATTTGCCTTGGCTAAGTGGTAGAGTTGGCAGTCTCACAGCCAGAAGGTTGGGTTCATCTCCAGCTCCTGCACTCACATGTAGAAATGTCCTTGGACAAGACACTGAACCCTAAATAGCCCCTGCTGTTACGCCAGTAGCCTGTGAAATAAATGTTTGATTGTATAGTGCTGATGTGTAGTTGGGCACTATATTTAGCAGCCTCTGCCATCAGTGTGTGAATGTGACATGTAAAGCTCTTTGAGTGGTCGAAAGACTAGAAAAGCGCTATCAAATTATAATCAGGGGGCGCTGGTGGTGCATTGGTTGGTGCATGTGCCACATGTGTGGAGGCTGTAGTCCTCCAAGCGGGCAGGCAGTCTTATCTCTACAATAAATGCACAAAACACCCAAAAATAAAACGATATCAAAACTTACTACCCCCCCTCAAAAAAAAAAAAAAACTGCTGAAACCCCAATCAAGCTCTTAGTTTAAAGATTCATTATGCTCAAATATGCCCTCATTCAGTCATGCCAGGATGTGTGAAGAGGCTGCTTCCTCTGGGACAATGAGACAGTCAGAAGCTTTGATCATTCACTTTCAGAGCGAGCAGCACTGACAAAAACATCCGCACATTTTGTTGTTTTTGTTGTTGATTTATTAAGATCAGGAGGAAGCTCACAGAGGATCTCCCTTATTGAGATTCAGGACCTTTCATTTTAATCTGTTCTACAATGTTTCAACAGCAGGCCTTCACATATCAAAGGTGGAAAAACTGTAAAAACAGGTGTGTCTCTGCAGGTCTCTGCCAAAAAACTACAACCTGACATCCTTTAAATCTGTGAAGAGACGTGGGAATGGCAGACCTCCAAAAAAATATAAGAAAAAAAAGCCTAATCTTATTTTCACCATAATTTATTGTCATCCTGATCGCTAACAGGCTGTGCTGCAATGATTCCAGCAGATCTCTTGTTTAAGAGATGCGTCTCATATGTTTGGGACTTCTTAGCACCAGGGGTAACATTAGACTCTAAGTGAGAACAGCTTTACTTTTTAGCAACAGGGGATATAAATGAACAATATATGAATACAAATATTTAATCAAAAAATGTCTTGTTTACTTAATTTGTATATTTGTCCTTACACATATACCTGTGAATAAAGCTTTATACGAGACATCTTACTACAATGTTTTCTCACCACAGATACCATTGATTTTCATGTTTATTTCACAGATATTAGCCAAAATAAGTCGCTTGTTTGCCAGAAAACTACAGACGAATAAAAGTCTCAGTTCTTATCAATAAGAGCCCTAACTCTTGTAAATCCATGTTTTCTTAAGCACATTGCATCACGATGAATCACTCGCTCTTCACAGTGCAGATAATTGAGTACAAACAACTCCCTCATTCACAGTACAACAGGGAAATCCTCAAGGGACAGCGGTTACAGGCAACTAACAAGTGTAAGAGCATAAATAAGAAAAACGCTGTGAGCATAAAGGATTAAAAAGAAGGTCTTTGTTCATATTTGATCAGAGGAGTGATATCCACCGTGGGTAGATTTTATCAACTATCCATTTTAAGAAAACAAGGATTTGGGTTTTGGCACGTTGGTGCAGTGTACCAGCACATCCACCAGGGGGAGAAAGAGAGCTACAAGAGTTTGCTTCCACATATTCAAGGACTTTCTACTTCAGTTTCCTTTTGAAAATCTCAAATATTACATGCAGCTTCTGACTGAGCAACAATCGAGAAACATGAACATCTAAACCAAGGAGGACATGTTCTTAGAGGAGCTAAAATGTCGCTGAAAACAAAGAAAAAGTGGGCTCGCTCACTGCATGGCTGCAATAATCCAGAAAATGTGTTTCTTTGCTTTGAGCTTCTGACTGAGCCACTTTGGATTACCAAAATATCTCATCTTGGTACGAGTCAGATTTAATCATTAATAGATCTACTTGGCTGTGCTGTGCGTCCCTCTTGTTCACATGTAAAACAGCAGCTTAGATGATTTGCATCCGCCGCACATCAAAGGGAAATAAAGACAGCAGAAGAAGAGATACAGGGTTTCTAAACTCAGAGGGACCTGCCAACTAAAATAAAAAAAATATTAGAAAACTAAAACATCCATAGGGTCAGCCAAGTTATACAGCGAGACTTTCTGAAATGATAGGAGCAGTACATGTACACATTGATCAGAGGTGAGTTATTTTTTTAAACATTTTGTCCATGTGGGTCCCCAGAGGTGTGTTTGATTTGTATACCTAAGCTGGGTTGGGGTGGAGTCAGTGTATGCGAGGCACTGGGTGCAGCAGGGTCATGTGCTCGGCGCCATTGAAAGGCAGACGCTGGGTGCAGTAGTGGTGCACCACCTCTGGGATGCTGGGAAACACGCAGCTGCTCTGGTCCAGGGTGTAGCCGTTCTCTTTGGTCTGAGCCACGATGATGTGAACACAGCCTTGGCTCGTCCTGAGTCACACAGAGGAGAGATGTGAACTAACCTACAATACAAAGCTGATACTGGTCTGACTTGTGTTACCATCACGAGTGACGGGTCATTAAGAGAGTTTCAAACATTTTTTTTCAAGTTACACATAAATTACTTCCCTTATTTTGCATAATGTAAGTTTAAAAAAAAAAAAAAAACATTTTGAACTTTTAAAAGTAAATTCAAAAGTTTGAAGTTAACATAATGTGAATGTAGAAAATACTTTTGAAAAGTGTTAAAATAAAACTTTGAGTTTTAGCATTGGATATAAAAAAAAAGCCAAAAGAGTAATGTTTGTTTTTTTTACGTTTCTTGTTTTGTTTTTCTAGCTTCTTAAGCTTGGAATTTACTCATGTCTCAAATATATATATTTTTTTCATTTAGATGGATGTGTGTAAAATAATGAACTAGGTATTGATTATTATCAGCACATCCATTAAACAGTTGATTAAACAGTTATCATTTATTTAAGGGTATTAAAACAAACTTCTAATTATTGAATTTTGAAGCTGGGTACATCACATTGTAATCTTTTCAGACTGTACAGTTTTGAAATCAATAACTTATATTTCATCCCTTGGGACACAACTGGCTGCACTTCCAGGTTACACTCACTTGAGGGCGATGGAGTACTTGCTGTTGTCCGACTCGCTGTTCCTTACCAGGAAGCTGGCCTCTTTGCAGGACTGTAGCTGAGACTCCGCCTCCTGGCGAGTCACACAGCCGTGGTACCAGCTGAGAGAGAGGGCGGGATTACTTTTCATCTGCTATTGATCAAGTGCTGAGCCCCTTTTATATAAAATCCCCTGGTCATGAGTAATACTCTTATAAAACGTTGACATTTATAACTATTCCACAGTTAGGGTCAGTACAGGAATAAGAAACATATGCAGACATATTCTGACTTATTGATTCAGTCTAAAATAGTTTGAGAATCAAAGTTTTATGTATCTAAATCCTATCATTTAATCCTTTCTACCTCCTCACCTCTGTTTTTCGAGGGGCAGGGAGGGGTCAACAAAGCAAGCCTCCGCTTCCATGTTGGCGCCAGGGGAGCAGGATGGCAACAGGGTTGGAGGAGAGGAGCGCAGGATCTTCTGAGTCCAGCTTTTCTGCCTCAGATGCTGATGCTGATTCTGCTGCTGTGGCTGGGCTGGCGGATGTTGAGGCTTCCTGTTGAGTGTGGGGTGAGGTGTGTCATCTTTGGTTGGTCGTTCAGGACTGTCAAACTGTGCTTGGGGAAGGAGGCTGCGAGAGAAGATATGTAGTTATGCAAAAAAAAGAAAAAGCCTCTCTATGCCTGAGTTTGAAGTGAGTGTAGAGAGACCTCGAGTAAGTCTAAAATAAGAAGGCAGCAGTTTGATGATTCATGCGCAATGTTTTCAGTATGCTGATGGTCTATGCAGCATATAAAATATACATGCTAAAGCAGGCCTGAGATGTTTTTTGAAACAAATATTTTTCATATTGATCCAAGGCAGAGACGATGCAGGGTTGGAGCTATGTTATATAAACGTTAGTGGTTAATAGTTAAACTGGGACAGCCTAAAGTAAGTGATGTATTATTCCCTTTAAAAGTAAAGGCAATACAGTCAAGGTGTTCACATATTCTAAACATTTCCCACTTCCCCTTTATTCAAAGAATTGGTGCAGTGCTTGTTTTCAGGTTTCATTGTGTGACACATGGTGTAGAAAATAATCCTGATGTACCTGAAAGCGTTCTAACAATCTGCTCTTTCTTCCACTCCCAGGGCAGCTCGTACTCAGCAGACGGACGAGGATCCAGCTCAGGCTGCGTAACTCCCGGCCTGTCACCGTCTCCGCTACCCTCATACGGGATGTCGTATATCTGTAAAGGTGCAGGCTGGCCTTCCTCCACTGTTCCCTCACTCGCCTCCATCAGCACACACACCTTCAGCAGGTCCTTGGACCCCCGACGTCTGATCTCTTGGAGATTAAAAAAAAAGGGGGATTAAAGATTAAAACCTCTGCAGAGAGATACAGAGGAGACCATTGATTTCTTTTTATAAAAGTGGATTTGCCCTACATCCAAAAACTGAAACTATTATAGCCTTAAACCTGCATTATTTGTAGTGGCCAGCAGGGGGTGACTAAAGAAGCCAAGTGAGATTTACTGGATCAACTACACCAACTACCAAGGTGCATGAAAAGTGAAAGATCCAGCAACATCTAGTAAGAAGATCAACAATATTTGAAAAAATTAAACTGACGCATTTTCAGCTATAATGTTTTAATAAAGTTGATTTTCATTCTACAAGTGTTGCTGGAGGTTTTTGACCTCCACCAGCAGGGAGTGACTGGCTGCAAAATCACGACAAATTTTGTAGAAGTCAATGAGAAAACAGTCTTCTCATTTCATTATTACCACTGTAAACATTGTTCTGACCAGTTTATGGTCTCCATCATTTCTTTTAAGTTTTTTCCCCCAATACAGAATGATGACATTTTTGTAATAATGGTCCCATTCTGAGTAAGAAAAACCTTGTAATTTAAATGTTACTTAAAAAATGACCACAAAGCAATTAGTTCTTCTAAAAATACTCTGAAGAGCAGGTTTTTATTTTTCTTTGGCAAATTACAATTATTTTTTATGAGTATTAAGTAGCATAGATGTGATATCACAGTTACCATGGTAACCAAGCTAAGAGTTTGTGAATGTAATCAGCTCTTACAGTATCTCTGCCCACTTCTACAGTCTATGCAAGGATACAACAAATGACGGACATGACACTTAGAAACGTGTGGAAGAAGCTAACAAAAACTCCATGTGAACAAAATGACCTTAGTGATGAACTTTTGACTGTTTCCTTTTAAATACACTTCAAAAGTGTCAAGGATGAACTTCCATACACCATGAGAATAAAAGATTATTGCCAGGCTGCAAGAAGCAGCGACCTTAGCCGTTAACCTCTTCTAATAAGACATGTCTGATAATGGTTTATAATGGGGTCATAAGGTCACAACCCAACGGTGTGATTACAAATGTGTGCATACATTAATAAATAGGAGATGTGATTAAATAGATCTGGGTCAAAAGATTAATTTGAGTTCAGTCCAATAACTTAAAGAGATTCTTTTACAAACTGACTGCCCAAAAGTTATTCTCATTAATTTTTATAAAGTGTGTTTATAAAATGATTTATTAACTATTATTAAAACCCTTAGGCCGTGGCACCACAATGACTAATGGACTTTGATGATGTGTAATTATTCATGACTCATTTTATCAGCTTATCATACAAACACAGTTGGTAAAATCAACATGGTATTCCCCCCAATAAACAGAGTTTCCTTCTCTTAACTGATGTCAACTGCTACATATAGTGTTAATAATAAAGCGGCCTCATTCCCTTACATCCTCACTTATTGAGTCAAGCTGACATCAGACTTGCTCACTTCCTTGGTATGATTTAAGCCTCATAAATTGACTCAGTCACATCATCACATCCTCTGTAGACTTCTCTGAGGAAGCCTGGAAGTAGCACCGGGCACTGCCAAATCTACTAGAGAGCACTGCAATAAACCATGTTCACAGTCACAGCAGGCTATTGTGTAACCCTTCTGGCTGGAACAATGGAGTGAAGGAAGGAAAGGTCAGGAGAGCATGTGATTGGTTAGAGGACCACCAGTCTTCCTCGATCCTGGGAAGTTTTGATAAATGGCCAGACAGGTCCATATAGGGGGGTTACACGGGAGAGGAGGAGGGCAGTGAGGGTCAACTTCCTTTTTAGAGAATAGCACCAGGAAACACGGACAGGAAAGAGGAAGCAGGAGCAGGAAACTGCACCCATTGTCCGAACACTACACGGCTGCTACGGCGCAGGGAGCACTACGGGAGCGAATTCCCAATCTTACAGCTCGGACAGGGAGGCAGAAACGAGAATCCTGTCTTACTGTGAGGTCAAACCTAGAGGTAGAGATTCAGTGATCAGAGAACAAGGGGAGTGATTGTTTATTAATGAAGGCTTACCTGTGATCATCTGCTGGGCATCATAAGGCTCCATGTAACCATCGTTCTCACCAACCCTCTCTGCTTCTCTTTGCTCCCTGGTCTTCTGAGCATCAAAGGGATCTGCGTAATCTTCAAGGATGATCAACTGGATCAAAATAAAGACAGAGAATCATTAAGCAGACACTTTAAAAAATCAAAAGTAAAAAAACATCAAGTAAAAGAAAAAACCGGGGTCTGACAGACAGCTATGTTTAAAGTCCAGCTTTTAACATTCTGAGTTTTATCATATTAACACCTTTTTTTAATTTTAACTTTTATCAGGGTTAAAAGATCACGCGCTGTTGTAAATATGTCCTGCTGTTGTCCAGGTTATGAGTTGTATTGAAAAGGGAAACCTGACAAATCTTAATATCTTCCCCATTTGATCAGCAACTGAAAATAAAAACAAGATGCAGCGTCTGAGGAAAGTTGGGCCACACGCTCAAAACAACATATTAGGGAAAACCTTAGCTTCAGTAAGCTAACAAATGATAGTAGCCTATGTAACCAGTTCAAGCTAAGCTCACTAGCTGGTATTATTTCACAACACAAGTAGCTAGCAAACAGTAGAGTTAGCTAGAAATATGTTGAAGCTAATGTTTGCCATTAGTGGTTGATTTCAGCCAATTTTTCAAACAAATGATAGGTCTACCGTTATATTACATCACGCTACACCACTAACAAGTTAACCAAAATGTAAGCTTACAGGTTTAATGCTATTGTTAACTGTTGTCTAATGGTTACATTCAGTTAATTCAAATCAAATAATATCCTAATGTTAGTATTACACAACTCCACTAGCTAGCTAGCTAACAGTAATTTAAGCTATTTGATGGTTGAATGGTTATATTAGCTTTTGTCTTATAGATGTAGTTAGCCAATTCCAACCTAACTTTACAGACTGAATTCGTCAAATTAAACAAATTTCCGGCTAATGGTATTTTAGTTAGCATTTGGGCGCCACATCCTGTTCATAAGGCTGGAGAACAATGGTTGTGATGGAAATAGATTACGATGAAGTAGCTACCACTATCTTATCGCAATTAAGTAAAAAGTACAATTCATCAACAAAGCACAAATGTAGCTTAGATATGTTTTTGTAAAGGTCAGACAATTAGGCCTTTGTTTCTCTGAAAATGTGTCAAACCCTTCGTTAAGACAGAAATAGTTTTCTATTTTTATGTATTCATTGGGATGATTTGTTAAGCCATACAATCAAAGTATTGAACATCATGTGTTTTTTTTCTCCATGGTAACTCAGTATTTAACGTTATTGTATTCTAATTTATGATAAGAGGTTTTTTTTCAGACTATTACAAAACAATTACTCGTGCATGGTATCAAGCGAAGAAATATCCAAAAGTTGTAATAAATCTTGGAGTTGGTTTTGGTCAACTTCACTACCGGAAACCTGTTTCTACATCTTGACTATGGAAGCACTTTGGTAGTTAAAACCTTCCTCTTCTCTGTCAACAACCTCTATTCTACTCCACCAGTCATGCCTAACTCTCTTGTCATCTTATCAGTGCTGTCTAAGTTGTTGTGTATTTTACAAGCTGCTAGCCAAGAGACAATGGTATGGACCGTAAAATGAAGATGTTCCTCTTCAATCACTTCCAGTTGTGTCCCTTTGCCAAAGAAATGTCAACGTTTGGATAAAAAGATGCTTAAAAAAGCTGAAACCCAAAGTGTGGTAAACTTTAGGCGTTGTTTAAGAGAGTTAAAGTGAAACAAATGCAAACTTCATAGAAAGGATGAAGGTGCACAAATATTACACAAAACTCACTCAATCAAAACTTTGACTTTGCAGACATGAGTAACAGGTCAAAAATCGGGATGTACCCAAACTCTGAAATCTAAAACTCACATTTTATTCTACCATTCTTTTATCTGTCACTTTTCTCACCATCGCTCAGCTATCACTATCCCTGAATTCTCAGTCTTTCTACCTCTTTTTTCTAAAGCCAAGCTGGAGGGGACTTGAGTTAGCGCCTAGGTGTCAAGTAACACGATGCTTTTTCCAACATGATAGCCTTCACCGGATCACCAGGGGGCCTGAGTGTAGAGAAAAGGATGGATGAGGGGGGTGAGAGAAAATGAATACTGAGCAACATTACATGCAGGAGAGGAAGGTAAGGCCTCACATCTGACTGCAGCTTTGTATTCAAGGAGGGGAAGGTGTGTGTGAGGACGAGGGGGTAAGAGGAAGAGATAGATACACACACTGGGAGGAGTGGGAGTAGTGGAGACAAAGGGGAAGGAGAAAATGAAACAATAATATCAATTTTCAGAGCTTGGACTGAGTCATCGCCTCTTAATTTCCAGCACTTTTGATGGCATGCATGTTGTTTTTTGGTTGTGTATGAGTTGTGTTAACCACCTGCTAGAGTACGGAAAGCTGCATCAGAATCAATTTTGTCCAATTTCACATCCAAACACAAAAAATAAGTCAGAAGATGTTTACTTACGTATGTTAAAGTTCAAATGCTATAAAGAGTCCATTTACCCTAAAGTTTCAAAAGTTGAATTTGTCATTCGGCGTCAGATTGATGACTGTGATTAAAAAGTACCATCTTGATCAGATTATGATTACTGGTGGAAGAAGAGTTAAGATATTTTAATAAAGTTAAAGAAATGAACAATCTAAAGATATTTTATTACAGGTAGAAGTTGTGCTCTTAAATTCAACTGAAGTATACAAATATCGTAGTAACAGTTTATTTAAAGATTTTTAAAATGTTAGTAATTATTACGCTGGTTTCTGATTTCAGAATAATAAATAGTGTGTTGTTTAATGATTGTACCTATAGGCCTACGTACATCAGTAAACAGCTCATTCAAATAGGCTACCTTATGTTCCCCCAGCTTGCTTAACCTTGAACATTTGTATGTATTTTTAATCCTATAGAATTCATGCAGTGACTCCTATGACTCGAAGTATGTGTACCTCTAAATTGTATTAATGCACGGTAGTTCAGCAGATGTTTACTGATGTGGTTGAGGTAAAAGCTAATTTGAATAACTTGACATCTTTAACACTTTATGACTTAAGAAAACAATCTTTTTTTTATGTGATTTCTAACTTGAAACTGAAGTGGTAGCTGTCAGGTAAGTGTGCTGAGGTTTAAAATACAATATTTATTTCTGAAATAGACTTCTTCACTGTAAAGTGGCATCAAATAGAAATGCCAATTTTTGTTTATGTTTAGGTAGGCTAAATGTAGACTGTTTATGTAATCAATCTTTAAAATGTCCCTTATATGCACATTATAAGTACAAGCTATATCACATTTTAATCCAAGTCTAAAAAATATGAGATAAAAAATGACCAATGAGGGAATCCAAAATGAAATGATTTCAGTATGATACCACAGATTTCAACTCAAAAGGCTTAAACAAAAATTTAAAATGAGTAGAAACACAAGTGAATGGGATCTGCCAATGGTTACTCACAGTTTCTGTCTTGCACTGCAGTAGTTTCTCTGTTTCAGGTACTTGGTTGGTGATGGTGCTGCTGTTGAAGTTTGGGCTTTTGTCCTGTTTGTCCACCCTGATCAGCCGGTTGATGTAAGAGTTAGCAGATGGAGAACTCTTCAGAGGTCGGTGCTGCTGCTGCTCCTCAAACACTGGCTCCGCTTTGGAGTTTTTACGACTCTTCCCAGACAGCAGGTTGTCCCACACTTTTCCATCTTTCACCGGGGTGCTGGCAGCGCTTCTACTCAACTCTATGGCTGAGTTTTTTCGGTTTCTCCCGGACAGGAGAGACCCCACTCCTCCACCTCCTCCTCCTGTGCTGCCAGAAGAGGAGTTCTTACGATGGCCCGTTTTGGAGCCTGTTGTTTTGGTACCAATGCTTGCCACCAGCCCGGTTTTGTTGGCTCTTGGTTGTGAGCCTGATTCTGAAGCTGATCGGATCCTGTCGGTACCATTCTTCAGATTGATGGGGAACTCTTTGAACCACTTTGCCATTATAACTAAGCTGGAAACCAATAAACTTCTCGGCCTGCTCAACACCTTTTAGTGCCATGCACCAGCAGGGCCCCAGAGACGCACCTTTTCAAATCACAGCCAAACTAACAAAAGACTTCCGTTGCTTTATTCTAGGATAGAGCCAACAGGATCTCCACACCTCAGTTTCAAGCCTACAAAACTATATGGTTCTATTCTTACACCTTACAATATCTTTGTAAATAAAAACGTACAAGCTGCCCTTTTGGCAAGAAAAATAATACTTTATCCCATTTGTACCTACTTACACCTGTTTCTTCCTTTGCTCAGAGAAAAAGTTTATTCCCTTTGAATGAACAGATGTCTTTGGAGTGGGAATACCCGAAAGAATGCAAAGTTCTTCTTGCTTCTGATTTGTGGTCCCATTCCCAGAGTGGCTTATAAGGTCCTTTACAGCCTGCTCCTGTCGCAATGAGGCTCCTGACTGCGCCTGGAGTTTAGAAGGGGGGGTGGAGGGGTCTGAAGTGAAGAGGGGGCAGGCAGAATCTAGTGGGCGGCGACAAGCTTTTAGTTGTGGACACCATGGTAGAATATGGAATACTATTTTGGAAACCAATTAAAGCGGAACAATATTCCCAGGTAACCCACTATGAATTTTTAGTTCTTTGGCCATAATGTTTAAGGGAGCCCTTGTTTAACCTGTAGGCCTACTATACAATATATAATTCCATGAATCAAAATGGCTACTGAGAAAAAAAGCAAACAGGCTCAATTATGCTGTCATATCAATTATTGTTGATTTTTACGAGCAATAGGTTACCACAAACATTCATATTCTTCCCCATTCATGTGGAAATTTACCCAGATGGAGTCTCAAATTGAATGTGACAGTCATATTAATATTTTGATGTTGGACGTTAATTCATTATTAATCTTTGTGTCACTTGATAATGTGCTTAATTGGCTGTCTAATTATTGTCCGGCCCTTCTTTAATTGCACTGCCTTGAGTTGGAAAATGGTCCGTTCTGAGCTGCTCCACATATTCCAAAGAAAGGGTTGACACTAAATCTATACATTTAAATAAATAACGTTTACAACTGTTGTCCGGTTAGATTTTAAGAATATTATGAAATAGTTTTATGTCTATTATACATTGCAAACTGTGTTGAAACAAATAATTCAAGAAATACATCTCTTATTAATTAGGTGTACTTATCGACACCCCCATTTTGGCGATGAGATGGAACCTTCCATGGTGCGCGATACTCCTGTTTGTCCCTCTTTGTCCGGTGGCGATAGAAGGCCATGATAATTATGGCAAAATTTGCGTTTATGAATGAATTATAGCTTAATGGTGGATCAACAAGCATACACCGAGTGAGGACGGGTTTGCTGACAATGACACACCAGAGAGTTTCATTTTAAAGGACAGCAGAGAGAGCAACGGAGAAAGGGTACAGTTTGCTTCCAAAGACAGTCTGCAAGATGGCTAGCTATCTTCAGTGGCATGCTAACGTTAGCTAGTCAGCTAATGTTAGCATAGTAAACATCCAATTTCCAAAAACATGATTGATTGCTTAATCTTTACTCTGATAAGTAAAACCAAGTGCACATTTTAACAACTGAATGTAGATATATAAATAATGGCTTCGGGTAATTTTCCGGTGTTGGAGCTACAGGGTGAAATCTCAATGCCGCTAGCGAGCCACATTGAGTAACGTGGTAGTAACTAGCTTGCGTTAGCTAGCTGGTTTGTTTTTTTTTGTTTTCTGCCACACATCTGTAAGTGATCATTTAGAGAGGAGGTGGGGTGCTCTGTTACTTGCTTGTACTGGCACCCACGCCAGGTAGGAAGCAACCAGATTTACTCAGTTTGTAGAAACAACAACAAGACTTTAACTTGTGCTGAAGAACCAGATCCCGTTTTTACCTGACGCTTATTTGGTGACCAAATCCCGGCGTGACAGACACCGTGGCGAAACATTTAGCAGCTGGAAATTAGTTTCCAGACCTGGGCCGGCTTTATAATCTAATTTAAGTTGCATAAATACGTGTTAGATAATATTTAAATGATTTTGAAAATGACCTGAAAGGCAGATTCCACCTACTTTTGGCTCATAGCCTTTAAGACGTCGTCATTTTTAACTTTTTTTTTTCTTGCACATGAACGGTGATATGCCACTTCACCGACAGTCATATTAGCTAATGGCTGCCGAATCGGGGAGACTACTGGCGGGACAAGGAAAACGAAGCAAAGGTAGGAATTAATTTCACCCATCTCCCCAATCAGAACCGGAATCATCCATTACTGCGCTGCAATGGGGCTGCTGCACTGGTGCTGTTAGCAAATCTCTTCTCTCTTCCCCCCCCCCCATATGTGAACTTCACGACTGTCTACGGTGGTGGCTGTTTCCTCACAGAGTGGATCTGTGAGAGGGGTTCATGTCTATCTTGCTATCAATGTACCTTCAAGCCTCGTTTCCTCGTTCCTCATGTCTTCGTCTTTTCCTGTCTCCCTCATTGACCTTACCTTTCTGCCTCTGTTTGCGGCCTCTCTCCCTCTCGCCTGGGTCATTTTGGTCTGCCTGGGTCATTTGCGATTCAAAGGCTTCATAACCTTGGTGATGATAACGCCTGGATGTTCAGCATCTTGTCCTCATGCCAGTCTATGTCCCATCATTGAATCCATCCCAACTGTTGGACTTGACATAGAGGCCCTAGGTCTAAAGCTGCTCCACTCTGTCACTAAGGGGTATTGGCCAATCCAAATGTGATGCTGCACCTGATTGGTGGTGGACTAATAGCATAAAGCAAAGAGGCCTATTTTTGTTGTATTACATTTTCCTCTATGAACCCGTTCCCTCTTTATTTGACTTTTTCAGCTTCCCAGATGAAGAGTCCCGAGAAGAAGAAGGCCAGGAAATCCACCACTCAGGTTATCTTTCAGACATCTAATTACTCTGTGAGATAATAACAAGTTAGATAATAAGTTTCTCAATGTAGAAAACCAAATTAACTTGACTGTTTAAATTGTGTTTATTTTAAAGAAGATTTTGCTTTCAATTTTCTTGTTTTAGGCGGCTGGGTTTTCCCACCTCACTGAGTTTGCACCCCCTCCAACACCAATGGTGGACCACCTGGTGGCTTCCAATCCCTTCGATGATGACTTTGGACCCCCATCCCGACCCAGTGGCACAGGCGCACCAGGCAATGCTCCATTTCTACCCAGTCCGGGTGCAGGCGGTGGAGGCGGTTATGGAGGTGGAGGCAGAATGGGCGGCGGCATGGGCTTCATGGGAGGACCAGGAGGACCAGGTGGCGGCCAGCCTGTACGGCGTCCTCCATTCGGCCCACCATCCAACGCTGGACCTCACCATCAATTAGGCTTTGGAGGCATTCCCGGCTTTGGAGGCGGTGTTGGGGGAGGAGGAGGCGGCGGTGGCGGAGGAGGAGGTGGTGGCTTTCCTCCTGGCGGGCCTTCTCAGTTCAATATGCCACAAAACTTCAGTCCACCCATGCATGGCGGTCCAGGTTTCAACCCCATGTTGTCCCCGGGAGCTATGGGAGGTCCTGGAGGAGGAGGGGCACCTCACCCTCGCTTTGGCATGCCACCACAGCAGCAGCATGGTCAGGGTGGACACCCATTCAACAGCCCGCCTTTACCTGGTGGTGGAGGTCCAAGAGGGCCCCCGCATGGTCCACTGCCTCCCATGGGAGGAGGCATGGGTCCTGGGATGAACATGATGGGGGGCATGGGTGGCGGCCCAGGAAGCAACATGGTGGGAGGGATGCCAGGTATGCCACCGCAAGGGCAGTTCCCTCCCTCCCAGGACGGTCCTTACCCAGGCCCCAGCCCACCAGGACCAGGCAATGAGGATGGAAAGAACTTTGGTGGAGGAGGGGCACCGCCTGGGCCTCAGCAGCAGCAGCAGCAGCAGCAGCAGCAGCAGCAGCAGCAACAACAGATTAACCTAAATCCCAATGGCCCCCCTCCTAATAACACCACTCCTGGCCCTCCTGCTAACTCAGGCCCCTCGCAGCCAGGGGGAGGGTTCCCAGGCCACCCTGACGTCCAGCAGCCCAATGCCAACACACCCGGTCAGCCTCCCTCAGCACCACCCCAGCCTAACCCCAATTCTTCTCCTACTGGGCCCCTTAATGGGTCAGGGCAGCCCCAGCATCCTCCACCCAGTCAGCTGCAAGCCCCCAATAATTCTAACACCCCCAACTCAAACAACTCAAACCAGCAACAGCAGCAACAATCCACTCCACCTAACTCTGCCCCTGGTTCCACCCCATACAACCAGCAGAACAACACTCCTGGTACTGGTGGTCCACTCCCAAACCCGGCCTCCAATTCAGGTCAGAATAACATGACCAACAACAATGGTGGCAACACTCCTGGCAGCAACCCCAACCCACCCTCCAACTCAACTTCGACCCCAAACACCCAGTCCCCTCTGCCCCCCGGCCCGGCAGCTCCCTCGACCGGGCCTGGTTCTGGCCCTGGGAAACTTGGCGGACTTGGTATGGTCTTCCCTTGCGGCCTCTGCATGGCAGAGGTGCATGACGATCAGGACGCCATCCTGTGCGAGGCGTCGTGCCAGCGCTGGTTCCATAGGGACTGCACGGGCCTGACAGAGCCGGCGTACGGGCTGCTAACTCGAGAAAGCGCTGCCGTTTGGGCCTGTGACTTCTGCATCAAGACCAAGGACATACAGGCCGTGTTTGTGCGCCAGGGTTTAGGCCAGTTGGTGGCAGCTAATGAGAGTTGAGGAGTGGGCAACAAGGGACAAGGGAGCATCGTGGAGGTGCAAAAGCATGAGGACAAATAGAGACAATCTTTCCTCTGATCTAATTGAATGACCTGTGTTTCATGTCATCTACTCGCCCAACCTTCTCTTAACTAGCCCTTTACTCGTTCACTACACCCAGAAACATGGTCATTGATATTCATGCTTATACGTAGCACTTTTAAGTGGCTAGAGGCAAATCATTTTTTTCTCCCCCTTCCCTAGAGGTGTCAAATCTTAATGAATGTTAACTACACAGTCCTTCAGACATCTAGCCTGCCAACCAGCAAAGCACTGACACCAACACACTACCTCACAAACTTTGTGACTGACTGGCACGGAGGCTGCCGCACTGACTTGACTGTGATTGTCTCGTCACACTCATTCACCACATGGATAAGATGCTATCTCAAACACACACACACACACACACACATTGATTAAGAGTGTAATGTTAAATCTTTCCCCACTGTTTGTTGCTACAGTGACTCAAATCCTCACCATTTATTCTGTATTTGGAGGCTTTAATCAAAACAGAAACTGTATGAAATAATTTATCAAAATACATTAAAAGAGTGCCTGAAAGTCTGAGAGAAACTTTGGTTTAATTCATAAATTTATCCCAAGTTTCATTTGCCATTCAAGCACTGCCCTGTCACATTATTAGCCTTTAAATTCAAGCAAATGAAAAAAACACATTGGCATATTAACACATGCATGTTTAAGGGGAAATGCTTTTTAAGTTATTTTTCCAAGTCCTGCATATGCAAACATGCACATAAACACTCCCAGTTACCCTCTGGTTCTTGTATCTGTCATTTTGTACACAGTGCTGATTAACCCAAAGGAGACCCAGGCTAATATCTCATTCAATCCTTGCAAAAAGTGGACTTTAACATCAAAGTAATTGTAAATATTCAGACAGAATCTTGGTCTGGAGCTCCTCATTCGTTGTGAACATGCCTGAGAGTTGACCAATGAACAAAATAAGTTGAACTTGTGTGTTTTGGTTGTGTACAGTAAGACGTTTTGGTTTTTATACAGTACATTTGAGTCAACTATTTCTTTTTATCTCTGCAGTACACACAAATTGTGAAATCATTGCTTTTGGATGGTGTTGGCATAGCAAGTAGTGACATCATGTCATATCAGATGTGCATAGTCCTTTTTTTTTTTTAAAGAAAAAAGAAAAAAGAGGGGAGGGGAGGGTTGCATGTGAGTCAATGCAGTAACTGTCTGATCTGTTTGTTTATATACTGGCCTCTGAGCTGAAAGAGGCCTTGAGATAGACCAAATAATAAGTGAAAACAACTTTTTCACATCTCTGTCATGGTATAAGGTGTTTATAAATGTCCTTCCTTCTCTCCCATTTCTTTATTCAATGTCCAGGTTGCCTTTCTGTTCCTTGCTCCCTCTACTGTTCTCTCTCTTTTTTCTTTTTTGTACCGGTATTTGTGCTGTGCTCTTGCTCTGCTCTTGTGCCTCCTGGTGGAGCCTGGAAGAACCAGTGAGTCCTGGATGGGTGGGGGGGGGGGAGAGAGAGAGGTACTGAACTCTGAGTAAAGAGTTTTTTTTTTGTACTTGTCCATGTCTGTTTATATTCCCATTTTTTAATTTGTTTGCTATTTGTTGTATTAAAATAAGGTTAAGGAAAACCTGATTAAACGGATAATGTTATTTCTTGATCATTATGCTAACAGTCACATATTCAGTGATATACATTTAAATGGTCATCAGTGACTTAATTTTGCTGCTGTTCTCAGTTTATTATGAAATGAATCTGACAAGGATTAGAAATCTTACATCAGTTCCTTTTCTTTTTGAAAGATTTAATATAGGAAATATCAGTTCTCCTGATGGTGTTTCATCATCTTTTTGTTGACTTGAAAGTCTAAATTCTTAATTATGTTCTTGTATTTTCCTATAAGGAATAGAAAGTCATGCAATCAGCTACTAGTTATAAGTAAAACAGAGGAAGTGTTCAGTTGGTGCACCTCAAATGGTGTTATTAGGTTTATATAAACTATATAATAATTAGCTTTTCAGGAATTAGTAAAGGATTGTTTTTTAGCTTTAAATGGGACTATCTTTTAATGAAAGTCCTCTGAAAAATGCTGTTAAACTTAACACATCCCAAAGCTTTGTCTTTGTTTTGCAAGGAACCCAAAATAATTGTGTTTCCAAAACATTTCAAAGAATTCTGTAATGTGTATATATGTTTATATTTACAATATAACTGCATGTTAGGGTCTGTATTAACGCCACAACTTAGTCTGAAAGAGATCATTTACACTATAGTGCTGAATGTTTACAAAACAAGTGACAAAGGTTTAATTAAGTATAAATTGAAGTACAATGGCCATGACTAAAAGTAAAACAATAATACTCAAACGTTCTGGTCCTGTGCATTCTGATGGCCATTTAGGCCACAGTTTACAAACTGAAAGTAAATGACTAAATACAAAAACGTTTATCCTGTATATAATTAGAGATGCCTTAGCTGTAACATGTATATGTTTTTATTATAACAAGGGAAGCCCCTCTCTGCCAATATGGGGAAAAGATTATACAAACTAAATGTTCATTGTCTTATGATGACTTAACATCAATTAATATGATCTCAGAATAATGGCAAACATTTCTTATTAAAGTCTTCAAACAAAAGAATGACTGAATATATATTTTTTTTAATTACTGATCGAGGTGTTATTTATTTATGTGACTTAATTTGAGATGATGTGTTTGAGAAACTAATTATTGTGATCAAGTGATTCTTTTTGAGATTCTTAGTCATGCTTTTGAGATACTTATCCATTACTTCAGACACTTGGATATATATTTAGATAGATACTGACTCATTTGGCAGAGACTGGTAATACAAGATACCTTCATCTTATTTTGTGATTGGCCTAGCTCTGTATGTTATTATGTTTGCGTAAATTATGTCATAATTAATCATCACAGAAAAGTGTGTCATTACACTGACTTCATAACATAAAAATGTTTGTATTACACTGGCGGGACTGGGATTCTGTAGCCTACATTAAATACCATTGAGAAAGTCTTTTCTTTAACAGCTCTATATATAAACGGGTCAGAGATGAAAGCGAACCCGCAGCAGGCCCCGCCTCCTCGGGGAGCCTCCCACCAATGGAGTCGGTCCTGAGGCGGGACGAGGACTGTCCGATGTGCTGGCAACAGGTTGCTCTGGTAGCGGGGGGGGGGGTAAATTTCCCGATGAGTTACATCTCCTCATCCCACCGACAGTGAACGGAGCTGCAGCTGCTGGAGACAAACTTGGAGGAGGGGAGGCACATTTACGGATTTCAATAATCTAAGCAGGTGCAGTAGGCTAGAGTAAGTCTTTACACAGTTTGTGTGTATTTCCTCTACTTTTGTGTTTGTGGTGAAAGTGCTGAGTGTCTGAACTGTAGTCTCCTGTGCTGAGAGGGCATTTTATATCATTTGGACGAGCATCGATGGACACCTGTGGATTTGAGGTTAGAATTTGCGGCGGTCTTCTAATGCTTGTTTTCGATAATAACCTAACACAAGCATCAGAGAAAACCCTTTATGTTCGCTTTCCGGTGTGTTTTGGAGACAGACTGTGTGTTTGTATGTGTCTGTCCGCTGCTGGCTATAATTGGATCTGGCTGCGCTGCGTAAAGAGGATATGAAGGGTTATTATAACCGAGCAGGTAAAGGCTTCAAATAGGATGCGACGGGGTCTCCTTGGGGGGCAAAGGTGTGCTGGTTGTTTACCGTGTTGCTCCTCGGCTCGTGTAAACAAGCCGGTGGTGGTTTCGACGCACACACCGATACTGACTGACCGGATAGGTGGGTGTGACGCAATTAATCCAGGAGCAGACAGGTGCAACGGGAGGGGGTTAACTTTGCTGTAAAACAAGCGAAATGAAAAGCGACATTCATTTATCGGTCAAGCTGTGTAAATAATCTCATTACTGCCGTGAAACATAACGCAGGCTTTGTTACATGTAGGCTACGTGGCTCAGCGACAAGTAAGATAAGCCTCATTGGCAAACATTATGTTCACACTCAGCCGCTGTAGGACGTTTTTTGTTTTTTGTTAAACTATTATTTGTTTTGGTAGAATTTAAAGTGAATTGCCCCCAGAAATAGTCCTTGGATAAAGTTTATGCTCCGGGGGTAAACTTTCAGCACACTTAGGACACCTCTGGTGAGAGACTCTCTTGATATTTTACACAACAGACCCAACACCTATTGACAGAGCAGCTTACCTTAATGTACAGTATTAGCTGGAAAACGGAATATCTAAGCTAAAAGGTTTTGTTATTCTTTTATCATAATTGACCTTATTGGAATCATAATGTGACACGTTTATACAGTGTGACAAAATGCATATTTATTATTCCAGGCTTGAGATGATGAAAAAGCAGACCAATGTGTTAATTAGGGGTTTGTTTCACATGTGTGTAGAGGTTAATATCATGTCAAACCAATTTATTCTTCAGACTTGAAAAGGTTGAACACAAATACAACTGATTTATTAATTGATTTCAGAATTTTTTTTTTTTTCCTACAGCTCAATTTGATGTTCCCTGACTTTGTTTTGGCAGCCAACATCCCTAAATCACAACAATATTTAACAGATAAAGGCATGAAATCACCCCTTAAAGGCGGGAAGCAGGAAGACTCAGTTTTTGTTTACTTCTCTGTTAAAGCATTAGGGGAAATCATTTAAGTCGTTTAAACCTTCAAATATAGCCTTAGAAAAAAATGAACTTCATCCAACAATGCTGCCTTATGTCAGAGCTGCTCATCTTCTCCTTCAGATACCCAAAGGCGAAGAGACACAAGGGGGAGAAAGTTGGAGCTCAGACATGTGTTAGGAGGCAGAGTTTAGGATTAAGGCCTGAGGAAAAGAGAGGAAGGAGGAATGCCTGCTGGGTGAGGAGAACGGGGAAGAGTGGTGGCAGATCAGCCCGTTTGGTGACATTCCTTCGTCTGTTGACACAGCCATTCCTTGTGACAGGAGGCAGAAGAGGTGAAGCAGTTGTCATGAAGCAGTGCACGGCTACTGGTTGTTGAATGTGTGCGACATCAAAGCTTTAGCCTTTTGTTGAAATTAACCCCAAGAAGCTTTATGTGTGACTGGAGGAGTTCATACAGTATAAGAGCAGATTGTGAGTTTTAAATTATCAAATCTAACCACCAGATCATCCTTTTGATGTCCAGTATGCATGGTGGTCAGCAGACCTGCTTGCTTGTTGTTCTGTTGGGGAATTAATTTAGTTTCTGCAGTATTTTTAGTCTGTCTCCTTTAATTAGTCTGCTAACTTAGTAACTGCCTGGGTGGACACTTTTTCTCTCTATGTGTTTGTAGGCTTTGCAGTAACCGCTGCCCTAGTTCTCACTTTCCTCTTAATCTGTCCTTATTAATACAAATGCAAACCACGCGCAATGCCGAGTGTAAAGAGTACGTCTGGAATCCTAAGAATGTTTTTTTTTAAGGGAAGACAAAGGCTGACTTTGATTCACCAATCGAAACCTCATTGCTAGTCGAGGCGCTCTGTGTTACACTGTAACCAGCCGTCAGTTACTTTTTAATTCACTTGCATCTGTGGGAGCTGAAGGCTGGGACGGAGAAAAATGTGCTGTGAGGTCTGACAGTTGGATCTGTTAAGGCAGCTTCAGTAGAGCTTAAACACTAGAGAAACAACACTTTCTTTTTATGTTATAAAATGAAAGCAGCGGCAGCATTGTTTTAACATCATTCTACATTACTTTAGTTCTTTCAAGCCACTGAAGAGAAGCGGTACTCATTAGATAAACTACCTGCTACCAGGCGGGGGAATGTGTGTGTGTGTGTGTGTGTGTGTGTGTGTGTGTGTGTGTGTGTGTGTGTGTGTGTGTGTGTGTGTGTGTGTGTGTGTGTGTGTGTGTGTGTGTGTGTGTGTGTGTGTGTGTGTGTGTGTGTGTGTGTGTGTGTGTGTGTGTGTGTGTGTGTGTGTGTGTGTGTGTGTGTGTGTGTGTGTGTGTGTGTGTGTGTGTGTGTGTGTGTGTGTGTGTGTGTGTGTGTGTGTGTGTGTGTGTGTGTGTGTGTGTGTGTGTGTGTGTGTGTGTGTGTGTGTGTGTGTGTGTGTCAAAGTAAACAGTCTACGGCTGAGTGACTCGACTCTGAAGTCTGGTGACTCGGGAGACTCTGGCAAAAGGCAGAGACAGCGAGAGAGGGGAGGCCCATTCCTGACATAGCCCCCAGTGTTTAATGGTCCACAGAGCCTGGACAATAAGACGAGTATGCTCCTTCTCATCACCAAAGCTCATATCCAGAGCTTATGAGGTGGACATGTTGAGTTTATACTGTTAACTTCACAACGGAATGATTTAATTAATTTGAATCCATCCAATATATATACTGATTTCATCCTCTTAAATATGAGGATTTGAAAGGTTATGTCTTGGTGTAGCATAACATAATTTATTTGGTTGATAATGGTGGGTACATCTGATAACAAATAAGGAAATAGAAACCATACCTTTTGAAAATAGTGGTTGATTTTCTGACAGTGAAAGAGTCCACCGCCAATGAGGGATTAGATATTAAAGGTTTAGATGCTAGTTGCAGTGGTATTCAAATTTGACGCAGTAAAAAAGATTAAGGGTCATTTAAAGAGACATTTGAAGAACTTAATGTTACGCGCTGAGTCACAAGTTATTTTAAAAAGCATGGTTAGATTATTTCAACAAATACCTAAATATAAAGAAATAGAAATACAAGGTATGGCCAAAGTTATAAAAAAATAATGCTGGATCCTACACTTCCCATCATGCAACAAACAGCATTTTATAGTCTGATCTTTATCTGTTTGTAAATGCACCTATCTTTCTTAGTTAGTAGCACACCTTTTTGAGTCTTGTCTTGGTTAATAATCTTTATATGTAAACATCAATACAGACAGAATGCCGCCATAAATGTGGGGCAACTGACTCTCTCTGTCTGTTACTCTACTCTTTGAACACACCCTCTGGGGGAGGGAGGGGGGGGGGAGAGAGAGAGAGCCCCAACCTGTACAAAGAACTTCTTAGTGCCCCAGTGGTATAATTGACATAACAAGAACACAATCCACTCTGGCTGAGACAGAATGGAACCTGAAAATATGTCAGCTTCATCAAGATACACCATGCAGCAATCTGATACGTTAGCCCAAGTCCATGGGAAGAAGTTGGACATTTACATACGAGCCAAGGAACCTTGTCAAGAAGCAGGTTAGCTCTCAGGGTTACAGGATGCATCTGAGGGATTTGTTAAGCTTGAACACAACGTTTAAGAAGGACCAAGCAGATTTTTTTGGTTGAGGTAGATAGCTGTCCACCAAATGAGTTTCCCTTGCTATTGTTTCCAAGTGCTTGCTGATTGGTGGATAAAGTTTGGTCTCTGATAATAATGTTTACAAGTGCTGTGCTAAATGTCAAATTGTGAGATGACTGTGATTTGGTGCTATATAATTCAAAATGGATTGATTGATTGATAAACAGACAGGTTTCTCAGTGCCTTCATGTTCAGTGTTCTTATTGCTTTCCTAGCTTGTTCCACTGATTCACCTGATTTGCATTTCTGCTGTTTACTTTCCCTGTCTGTTCAGGCTGCTCGCACTGAAACCAGGAAGTCAACATGAGCAGCCTCTCCAGCGACAAGAAGCCTCTTGTAGATTACGGCGTGCAGATCCGCTTCATCAAAGACCTCCATGACACGGGCGGAGGCTACGCTGACAAATCTAAAGGACCCAACACTGCAACTCCTCCTTCCAATAAGTACGGGGTGGCGGTGCGGGTTCAGGGAATTTCTGGGCATCCGTACGTGGTCCTTAAAGATGGAGAGAAAGGTGACTCTTATGGGGTTCAGCTGAACACCACCAGCCCTACCTCAGGGCCGCCATCGCCGAGCAACAGCCTCCCAAAATTAAACAAAGAACCAGTAGAAGTAGCAAACCCCTACAGCCCTGCTGGGAACACTACACACTCCCCTGTTTCTGCAGCAGAGGACGAGGACGGGGAGATTTTTGGGAGTCCTCTTAAAAGACCTCCAGGGGATGGTCAGGCAGGAACACAAGGGGAGGAGGAGGGTAGTGCCTGCAGAGACGGGAAGGCGAAAAAGTCGAAAATAGAACTCAAAGGAACAGCAGGTGAAGCAGAGAAAAAGACGGATAAGGAGGAGTATAACGAGGCGGGGCTTAAACGAGTCAACTTAAACGGTGTTGGACCCAGAGGGTTCAAACAAACTGGGTCTGGTCTCACTGGATCTTTAGGGAAACAAGGTGCTAAAACAGATCCCCCTGTAGAGGCAAAACCTCCAGCACCAACTTCTAAGGAGCCCTTCCCAGCGATCGACACAAACTCGCTGGCTCCCATCAACAAGCTCATCAGTAAGTTCAACAGTGGAACACCAGGCGTCGCCCCGCAGACGAGAGGCCGCTCTGGAGGAAGGCAGCGTCTCCGGTTTGATGAACGCAGAAGGTCCAGAAGTCTCGATGCCAGAAAGGATCTTCAACCTGAGGATTCCCCTCCCTCTCCAACTCTAAACCCCTACGCCATGCCTTTGTCTTCCTCCTACAACCTGATGACATCATCTAGCCTGGGAAGGAGCACTGCATCAGTTGCCAAGGTGACAGCCCTCGAGGCCCCTAAGCCCAGCTTTAAGTCACCAGGCAACTTTGTTGCCAAGGACACCTCTCCAGCTGTAGCAAAAAAGCCTGTAAGTACCAGTGATTATGAGATTATGAGTTATTTGCAGGCTTTAAATTGCCTCTTTGTTTTCTGTCCTACTTTGTTTACCTTCTATTTGCAGGAGATACCTCCAAGGAGCCAGAGTCAAAGCACAGCAGTCATCAGCGGAGAGGATGCTCAAGTTAAGCAAGCTATTTACAGCATCCTCAAAGATGGGTAAATATACTACAAGCATTATAAAGAAGATGGCTACAGTAAATACTAACTCAAATATATATGTTTTGTTTCCTGTGTAATCCTCTGTTCACTGTTTCCTGATCAGCTCCAGTGAGAGTGAGGCTTCCCTCAAAAGAAAGGTCAACCTCGTCTATGACACCACGGGCTGTTATAAGGTAATAAAAATGCAAATAAACACTAAACCCAGTATTTCTAACAGTATACAGGAAATATGAGGTGTTTTACATGCATCTTCAGCTAGGGAGAGAATCAAACATCAGTATAGAATGTTCAGTCTTAACACTGGGAACAGATGTATGACTGTTTCTGACATTCTTCATCAACAAATAGATTTAGCATTGATGATCCAGACATAAATCACACGATTTAAAGTCTTCTGTTAATCATTTATGTTCCAGACTTGTATTTTGAATTTCACCAGTGGTGCAACATTATGATAAGAGAGGGGCCATCAAAGAAACAGTTCAACCTTATACGACATTCATTTTTTTTTAAGCCTTCTTGTCGAAAGATACGTGTTAACTACACTGTAAATATTGAGCACCACTAGCCTGTTAGCTTAGCCTAACCTAGCAAAAACCTTTTTTTTTTTAAATTAGGGGAAACACCCAGCCTTAATCTGCCAAAGTTAAGTTATATCTACCTCCAGAAAGTCTTTATGCAAGGAGTTGACTAGAAGGGCATTAGAAATCAAGCTAAAACGCTAGGCTAATCTGAGCTAAGCAGCCGGTTTTAGCTTTATTTCTAATGACCAATCAGCTAACTAGCTGATCCAAACTGTACAAATTGTTACAGTAGCAGCTAAGCTAGCGAAGCTGCCCCTTCTTACATAGAACTTCAATATTGGGTGAAATGACCTAGATGTTGATAATGGACTAGAACCGTGATACATCTTGGTAAAAATGTATTTCAATGTAACTTTCTGTGATAGCAGTTGAACTCATACAGGCATGATTTCCTTTTTAAAGTTGTAGTGGCACAATTAAGTCGTTTTTAACTTTTTTTAGTTTGTCATCCAAACTAAAAGCTTCCAACTTGACAAAAAGCTTAACAGGATAGTTCTGTTTCCATAAATACAGTACTTGAAGACTTTGTAAAAATAGAAAATAGCTCATAATCCAATAAGCTTTTTGCATTGTGTGTCGGACAAAAGGTTTGGACGTATTGTTTTCTGATGAACATCTTCTCAGCCGAGCAGCTCTTGTAATGGCGCGAACAGATGGTGGGGCAGGCTGTGCTCTTCTTCTGAGGACATGAAGTTTCTCTTTCATTCACTTTGAGCCTCTTTCTGCACCATAACATGCCAATATTACATAGCCTGCTGAGTATGCCTCCTTCATTTGTGGTGCCATCTTTGCCCCCTTTGACACCTTATTAAAATGTTTTTTTATGAGCAAGAGAACACCGCTTGTTTTACATTTGCACCTTTTGCATAAATCTACATACAGAAGTTATCCCTCCGTGTCATTAGCTCCTTATATTACATGCATTTTTATTATGTATGACCCCTTGTTATGCACTCCGCAGTGTGTTTGTGACTACGGCAGCCTGTGAATCATTTGCCCGTCTTGTCTCTTGGCAACGATGCACCTGCAGAGGAAGGCTGTTGAGGGCTCAGTGTGTGTTGAGGGTGCAGTCATTGAGAACCATCAATAATTGAGTTGGACTGGAACCCTGCACCAGCTGGGGGTTGTCTTGCCGGATGGGACAGATCCTTCTTAGACGGGTCCTGTTGAAATTTCTGCCTTTTTATTTTATTTTATTTTTTTTTTCCAAGGCATTTACCATGCTGTGCATTTTAAAAGACGAAGCAGCCGATTTCTCTCACAGAAGTCATTTAAGGCTCTTCAGCAGTGATAAAAGCTGCTTAAATATCCACAACCAACATCAAACTGCAAGATTTTTTTTTTCCTTTTGCTTGAGGCTATGTCTTCTCCAACTCTGGCTCCAAACCAAAGCATTATTTTTGTCTATTTAGAACCAAAACACAACATCAGAGAAGTATCAGAGGGGTGTGTGTTGTAAACAGCTCTGCCAAACACTGTTTTGGGGGCATTTGCGATAAAAAACGATGTCCTGATGAACCAACTGACACATGCTTAGCCTTTTATTCCCCAGTTATTTTGGGAGTGCTGGGTTATACAGGATTCAAAGTCCCCTGGTAGTGTGTATATCTCTTTCTAAGTGCATGTGTCGCAGCTTTTCATTGACTATGTGTCAGTGGGAGAACTGTTGAGTTAATGCACTGACAACCTGTTTGTCCTCTGCTTTATTGAGGATCAGATGCTGGTTTGTGTAGAGAGTAAACACATTTTACTGTTTTGTGCACAACAAAACTAAACTACTGCTATGTCTTCTTACAAGCCGTTATTGTGCCCAACACATTAACTGTCTGTGACCATCATATATAAAGAGTGATTATTCCCTCTTAGGTTGCCTGATTGCATAGATTTGCAAGTAAGGATAGCTATTTTGGGTTTTCCCAGTATTAATAGTAAAGGTCCCATTCATTTTTTTTTTCATAGGGGGTGGAGCTCTTTTCGACTTGGATCATCAAACTTGTTGGATTAAATTATTTATACAAAGAAATCTTCAAGGGTCTTACTTGATTGGTTTTGATTATTGGACAAGGCTAAATGATACATTTAAATAAATGCAAATGTTTTCAAGATGCATCAAATTATCTTATAAATGTAACGGAAATTAGATTTTAAAAACTACTTTAGGCTTCTGAGTCAATGTTGTATCAAAGATAGTCAGTAGCTCCTAAAAAATCAAATATAGACTTGTAATGCCACTCAATCATCACTTCTGGGTCTCCTTACATGTGTGGTGGTCACTGTCTGCAGATAGCATGTCATCAGCCTGTATGTTGATGTTTTAGTTTGTTTTGGTTGACATGGGACATTTCTGGGCAGGGAGCTGGTGTGCTTCCCCCTGCCAATGGAGTGGATTCAATTCTGTGATAGCGACAAAGAAGAGAAAATATTTAATCATAGTGAAACACCATGCAGATAAAGCCCATTCTAACATTAGAACTTGAACCTTGTGTTGGCTTTTACCTACAGAAGCAGAGATGGTCTGCTTTCTGTTGGACAGGTAGCTGCCAAACACCGTTGGATAATTTGTGCTAACGTGCGGTAGGTAGCTTGCAGTGTAGAAAATCCCCAACCCAGCTTCTCCTCTCACTTTACTGCGTTCCTTTTGTGTGCTTAAAGTTAAAAGCACAAACAAATGCCTGAAAATTAACCTGTTAGTTGCCAAAACATGGTGTGTGTTTTTTTTCTTGACTTTTCCTTTAAGCATCTCATGACCTTGGATATTTATCTAGCGACCCCTTTTGGGTCCCAACCCCCATGTTGGGAACCACTACACTAGCGGCTATTAAGGCCAAATCAGCTGTTTTTTTTAGATCAAGCTTTAATTGAATCTCCTTTGCATTATGTAATTACTTTATCCTCAAGAATTTGTGCTAAGACTACTAATGTAGGGCAGCAAAGAGTCTTTCATTGGAGAAGATTAATACACATAACGATAAAGCTGATGTAATGCACTCAAAGTGCTCAAAAAAACTCGTACATCTTCTCAGTGATGTTGTCATCTGTTAATTATCTCTTTGTAAGGAGCTGAAATGTCCCACATGGGGATTATCTACAAACTATCCTGCAGGGAACAAGAGGAAAATGAAACAAATTTGTGCAAAATTCATCTTCAAAATCCATCACTGATAACAAACAGAAACATGAGGTCCCCTAAGGATCACAAGCATGCGTGATCCTTGCTTTGTCTCGCTCTCCTTTTGTGTGAGTGCGTGTGCCTTTAATGACTGTGTAGGAGGATGAGAGGAGATTCATGGGCACATTGTTCTTATGGCTTCTTTTTGGGTAAGAGAAAGGCTTGTCAAAAGGCACACTGATGTGGGCGACGTCACTTCGGCTCTGCTCCCCTGCAGCCTGTCAGGAGGACTTGTTAACGTGGGGAGATTGTCTTTTCTGACGATGTCTGAGCTCACTGGTGGGGGGGCCTGTTCTCCCCGAGATTTTTTTGACTGTCAGAAAGTAGGGCAAGGAATCCAAGTAAGGGAATTTTTTTCCTTTTAAAGTTTTAGACAAGATAGAGCGAATAATGTTTCTGCAAGGTCGACATTGACACTTTGTGGAAAAGTTTCCAGACGTCCTGTCCATGTCTTTGTGCTGAAGATTGTCTTTTGTTGTGTCCCATTTCTCTCTCTCTCTCTCTCTGTGTGTGTGTGTGTGTGTGTGTGTGTGTGTGTGTGTGTGTGTGTGTGTGTGTGTGTGTGTGTGTGTGTGTGTGTGTGTGTGTGTGTGTGTGTGTGTGTGTGTGTGTGTGTGTGTGTGTGTGTGTGTGTGTGTGTGTGTGTGTGTGTGTGTGTGTGTGTGTGTGTGTGTGTGTGTGTGTGTGTGTGTGTGTGTGTGTGTGTGTGTGTGTGTGTGTGTGTGTCGTGCAGAAAGAAGGATCGGATGGGAGGGGAAGGGAGGGGAACCTTGAGGAACTTCAGGAACAACTGAGTCGCTGCAAGAAAAATCTGCAGCTGGCCCATGATGAGTAAGTGTGTGTGTGTTTGTCTGCATGAACAGTGTGTGCACTTAACAGGGAACAATAATCTTTCTGTTAATTCTTCTGTGGCTTCAGTCAAAAGATCATTCAGTATCACTTGATTGATGGGCTTGTTGATGAGTTTGCAATATTGTGTGTGTGTGTGTGTAGACTGGCCGAGGAGCGTATGGCCAGAGAGGTTGTGGAGTCTCGCCTTCGTCTACAAGAAGATCAGCTTGCCGAGCTTCAGGAGGAGCTGAGGAGGGTTGAAGAAAACTCACCTCACTCAGACTTGCTGAAGACGGTACACACACACACACACACCACACATATATTAAAAACATTCCCCCATTTCTCCTCGTCTATATATCTAACTTTACGTCTTCTTTTTCTGCAGGATGTGAGGGCTCTGCAGGCCGACCTGGCCGAAGCAGCCATGCTGCGTCAGCGTCAGGAGGAGACTCTCCGGCAGCGCGAGCGGGAGCTGACGGCTCTTAAAGGGGCGCTGAAGGAGGAGGTGGAGTGCCATGACAAAGAGATGGAGGCTCTTAGGGAGCAGTACAGCCACGACATGGATGACCTAAGGACAACCATGGAGCAGGTCACACAGGTGGCGGGAACTATCCTTTCCATTTTCTGCAACTGTGCAAAACTTCACTTTGAGTGGAAACCTTTAAGTTCAAGTTCAAGTTTTGGAGTAGTTAAAAAACATTGAGACAATTAGTAGTCCATTGAACATAAAACAAAAAGTAGGAATTAATCTATTTAAATCTCTAGGACCCACCCTGGACTGGACTCCAGTCAATCACAGGGCTAATATTTAGAGATAGACAGATTTGCTTGCTTGCACGTCTCACACTACGGGCAGTTTAGAGTCACCAGTTAACCTAACGAGCATGTCCTTGAACTGTTGGAGGAAGCCGGAATACCCAAAGAGAAACAAGGCGTTCACAGGGAGAACAGACAAACAGAAAGTCCACATCCGACGTGGACCTTTCTACTGTGAGGCTACAGCTCTACTGTGCAGCCCCCCATTCACAGCTTGTTCAATAAAACAAAAAAATGTTGCTTTAGTGCCCCTGATGTCACTGAACAAACACTGGAGATACAAAAAAGAATGATTCAAAAAGCAACGCAAACACTGCTAACACAGCCTTACAGCCTTGTTATCTTTACAAAATCCACCCCCGCCTTTCTGTCATTTTTATCAAGACTTTTACTACAGAACGTCTTATAAACAGATGCTGCAGATCATGAATTAACCCCAAGAGAACCTGCATGAACTCATTTTATCAATGGAGAAGGTGGATGCAAGCAAATGACCGTTTGGAGAATGTGTTTGTTTCAGTTCAACAATTTGCTCTTCAATACTTTAGCTGAAAGTAAACTTTTAAGTAAAACACATTTTCATTTTTTTCATTTCCCTGTGAGGCTTTTAATCCTGAAATGAAGCAATAGCAGTGTGGTTTCTCAGACTCTGGGTGCTATCATTTTAATATTTTTTTTAAATGACATCAAAGTCATTGGTAAGATAACAAAATAAAATGCTCAGTACGAGTGTAGCAGTGGAACAGTCAGGTCCTACCTGTCAGGCAGTTTGTGCACCCTGCATGCTTTATTAAGCGATATTTAATTTTACTTTGATGTTGCACTCGCCCCCATTATGCACCCCGGCCTTGTCTTGTCATTCAGTTTAATGTGTACGTATGCAGCGAGTGTTCAAACACTGAGTCAGGGTATCATCAGGTCAGGCTAAGCTCCTGTGTGCACACTCAGAAAAAGAGAATTTTGCTTCTTGTGATTGCAAAAACTTTTTCGGCTCTATTGAAGAGTTTCACCACTCGCGCAGACGGTAGGATGTGGTCTGAAGGAAATTGTGGTGTAGAGGAATTGTGAAGCGTATCGGTATATACAGGAATAGATCATTATGCAGAATTTGGAAACAGTAGCAGCGGTGTCAGGAATAAAAGTATCATGCAGCCAGAGAGCAGGAGATAAGCAGACAGGTTGGCAGCTACGTTTGATGTGGTGATTTATTTGGCGGGAGGAGGATTAAAGTAGTTGAATCGCTTTTTTGGGGTGACTGTATCTAGCTCTACTCTTTCTTATATTATATGGTGGTATTTCTTGCATGGAATAATTTTTTTAGAGGCTAAAAAAACGCAGATGAAGTTATAAGCAGAATCTGCTTTTCTCCTTTGATTATAAAGTAACTGAACTCAAAGTAAAATAGAGCAGAGCTTGGTTTGTGAACTCCTTCATGTTAAATTGACAAGGTGATTGAGTATGAGGAATAAAGCGGCTCACTCTCATGATACAGTATAATATATGTATGTTGTGTGTTTGTGTTTCAGACCCAGGAGCAGATAGAGGAAGAGAGGGACAGGGTGAACGTCTCCATCTTTACTCTGGAGGAGGAGCTGGAGAGCTGCAGAGACCAGGGAGAGAAGTGGAAGACGCAGCTGGAAGCCACCACAAAGGAGTCAGTACTATTACTATACATGTTCTTATCATCTAAAGAACAAAGACAGATGATGGCCAATAATGAATATCAACTACTACCAAGCATTTTAGACTGCTCTGTCGGATTAATTACATGATATCTCCCAAAATAACAAGACAAATATTTTTGGTTTATGTGCAGACAAAGCTACATTCCTGTTGCGTTTTGTGAGTTTTTGTATTTTTACTTCTCACATCAGAAGCTTCTCTAAAAACACAAATAATTTATTAGCCGGGGAAACACATACCGTATTATTTAAGTGTTGAACTTCAAAAGGTTTATAAACAGTTGAAGCAGGAAGCAACGTTCAAAGACCATGACTACGTGGGAAAATCAATGTTCCTTTGAAAGAAGCCTTTGTTTCTAAGCTCACATGAAAAAAAAAAAAAGCTGAATTTAAGTCAAAAGGGTTCTAGACCATTTACTGTAAAACTGTCAAAGAGGAACGCACGGGGCAGCAGGGTTACTGTATCTCATGAAACAGGTTTATATTCACAGCTTCTCTTTGTTCTTTTGAACGTTCCAGTTGTAACAGAAAGCATCAAACCCTGTCTGTCATATTCAATATGTTTTACATGTAGGAAAGTCAGATCAAAGAATTCACATGCCGACAACTGTAACGTCTGTTAACTTGAATCTGTGTGGATTCCCTGAACTTTCTGGGTTTTTTTTTTTTTTTTAAGACATGCAGTATGACATTTCTCTTGAGTTATTTTTAATGCATGCACTCTTTCACTTGACTCTCTCATTTGGCAGGAGCAGGAAGCGAGTCGGCGGGCAAATGTGAGGGAGAAAATCAATCTCACTGTTTTTTGGGTTTGAGTAGCTTTAGACTAGTTTTTCAATCAGCAGCTCTCAGATACTTTCCCTGAAATTCACTCCGAAAGCTCACATGTCAGAGTGGATTTCGGATCTGATGAATTCTCTTTCGTTCATTAGATCTGTGAACTCTTACTTATGGAAATCAAAACCCAATCATGTCAGTCCTCTAAGCCAATCAACCATCAGAAAATTCACTTGATTTCATTGATTGTGTTTAATGAACTATGTTGATGCATCATTGTCTTTGATTCTATAAACATAACTTGAAACATATTAACAGCTACACTCCCACTGTGAAAGTCCTTGTTAACAACAGACAGACGGTGATGATTCTTAATGGTTGAGTGCAGTAGTTTGACTCCCTTGTGCTTGATGTGTTAGTGCTGTGTCTGGTGTGTTATGATGGCCTTGCAGTGAGTGTGTGTGCAGCTTGTAGAGCTTTTCTGTTTCCACTGTGTGTTCTTTAACGTGGCCCCTCTGTCCACAGGCTGCTGAAATCCCGTCTGGAGAAAGACGATTTTGAGAGTGAGCTGAAGGATCTTCAGGATTCACTGCTCAGCATGAAGAAACAGATGCCTGCGTCTGCCGATAACGTTTCTTTCGCCGAGGTAATTCACATGTCAGGCAGGAGGCAGATTAAGCTGGTTTGTGTGGGTGAAAAGCAGCTGCTCATCTCCTCTGTTTTACAGTGTTTTGTGTTTTTAAGTCCCGATAATTTCATTCATTTGTTCCCCTGCATGCACACAACAAATGCACCCTCACAAACCCCTGTACTCTCTATCAACACATTGTTATGCGTTACTCACACCCACAATATTCATCGCTGATTACTTATCCCTAGGAGCTCAGGCGTTGCCATGATGATCTGAAGAGGGCTCGCACCGATCTGGACAAACAAAAGAGCCAGTTGGAGGAGAAGAGAGAGGCACTCGAAGCCCTGAAGAGATCGAGCGAAGGGAAAGAGGCCGAGCTGCTGTCTGAGATCAGCACATTGAAGGAGCGGTCGCAGAAAGACAAAGATGAGCTGGAAAAGGCGCTCGAGAAGTTGAAGGAGGTGAGGCAGACATCTTGAAAGTGGTTTAAAAAAAGCAGATGAAGCCCAAACACAATCCATTTGCAATGGATAAAATGTACAATATTAAGGGATTAAAGCTTTTAGAGAGATGATGTTTGCACACTTGATAAATTATTTTTTGTGATCATTTTTTATTATTTATGTTTAAACATTGTCACTTACAATAAAGGAAAAACAAGATGTTGTGGTTTTAACAACAGCCCACAAATATACAGGAGAGGAGAATCAATCAAACAGTATATCATGTATATAATTCCTTATACAATACATTTCAAAAGAAGGGATGAAAACAGAAGACAAAAGGGGCACACTTGATAAATTCTGAATCTTCCTCTCTACAGTCATCAGTTACATCGTCAGGAAAGACTGTGGTGGACCGCACCAACGTGGAGCTGCAAGAAGCAAACACTCGCCTCAGAGAGAGGCTGGCTCGCATGGTACCACATCACAACAACAAACACAGATGTGCACACACACACACACACACACACACACACACACACACACACACACACACACACACACACACACACACACACACACACACACACACACAAACACACACTGGCATGCATGCAAAATTAGAAAAACAGACGTACTGTATCAGAACAAAAGAAATAACCTCCCACACAAAATCTATTTCAAACCCCTAGAGATGGCAAGTAAATTAAAAAGAAAAACTCAAACATGTAAACCCAAGGAAATAATCCCTGAGAGATACATTTGTATACGATGTGCATTTGTTGTTCCATGTGTGTTGGAAGAGCAACATCTTTTAAGAGCTGTAATCTTGTTGCTGTTGATGTAAAGTAAAAGCCTCGTCGTAAATAAGTCAGTGTAGATGCAAAGCTGTGAAATAAACATATGGCAATGGTACCAAGTAAAACACTTGATGAGTATAAAAGCTGCTTTGTGACCAATGTTTATCTTTGGTTATTCTCTTGTTCTCCAGACACGGCTTCAGTCCAGTGTGCCCCACAGCTCGGACACCGAGGAGGCGGTCGAAGCTTTGGAGGACGAGAACCGCTCCCTGAAGACTCAGCTGGAGGAGGCGAAGAGAGGAGCCACCTGGCTGACTAAAGAGAGGGATGAGCTGACCCGGAGGCTGGAGGACAGAGACCTGGAGAGGGACGCCCTCAGGAGGGGGAAGAGCGACCTGGAGGAGCAGAAGAGGCTGCTGGACCGAGCACTGGAGAAGATCAGCAAAGAGGTGTGTGTGTGGCTGTGTTTAAGTTAGAGCATTGTCTTAGCTGACTCCATAGAGATCATCCAATCCACAACCCCCTTTCTCTCCACTGTCAGATGGAGGTGATGATGGGAGATTCTCGTCAGTCTGTAGTCACCCTGCAAACACAGCTTGATGACTACAGGGAGCGTTCGAGGAAGGACCTGCTGGAAGCTCAGCGAAACAGTAAGGACAGACTGGCTGAGCTGCAGAGAGCTCAGAGCAACCTCAAGGCCCAGCAGGAGGAGGTGAGGACTAATGGCTTAAAAATAGAAAAGGATAAGAAAGAGAAGGAACCGGCAAGAGCATAACAAAACCTGATGTTCTTAAACATCTTTAAGAATCTGATTTATCATTTTTAAGTTATGTGGAAGACTGGATCCTGGATAATTAGGGCTAAATTTTACAAAAATATTAGCCCAGTATGCTTTTCTTTTTACAGACCATCTTGTCTTTTCCATCTTGTTTACAGGTTTCACGCCTGAAGAAGGATCTGCTGGTTTGCAGCGAGGAGAGAGACAGTGCGCAGTTGGAGAGAGACCTCCTCAACAACCGTCTCAAACACTTTGAGAGTGAACTAGAATCAGAGAAGAGCACCTACACTGACCGCACACGAGAAATTAGAGGCCTGGAGGTGAGGGCTGGGAGGTCAAAGCTCATGAACTGGGGAATCTTAATGTTTTAGAAATGGGGTGATCAAGCTGCTTTGAGTATAGATGGACTGAGCTAAGAAAATGAAAATGTTACAATGTGTATTTGTCTATTTATGTGTGCATATTTTTTAAAGGATAAAATTAAGACGCTGGAGATTGAACTAGACGAAGAGAGGAGCAGTGTGGAGCTTCTGAATGACCGTATCACACGTAGCAGAGATCAGGTGCCAGATATAAATATTTGCATACTCATGCAAATTAGCAGCAGAAATTTCTACATACATCTGATAACAGCTCTACTTACACTGCCTGTCTCCTTTCTCACTTTCACCTGTCAGGTGGACCAGCTTCGGTCAGAGCTGATGCAAGAGCGTTCAGCAAGACATGATCTGGAAATGGACAAGAGTGCACTTGAAAGACAGGTACCGTTCATTAATTCAGTGCCTTCACATGTGCACATATTTTAAAAAATAAATTCATATTCCCTTTTTTGCAGTCAGTAGTTCATTTAAATCTATTTCCCATCCCTAGCTGAAAGAGTTGAAGTCTCGAGTAGCAGACTTGGAGGGACAGACTCGGCCCTCAGCAGGATCAACAACCCTGCTGGAAAGCAAGATTCAGGGGTTGGAGGAGAGACTACGCAGTGAGGAAAGGTAAGAACACACCTGACAGGTCAAAGAAAAAAAACATATGGAGGACCTAGCAGTTACCACACCATAACATAACTAGTCTTAAGACTAACTCACAGACTTTGCAAGGTGCTTTTATGTTGTTTGAGTGCTGAGGTTTTTTTTTTCCATACAGAGAGAAGGCCAGCATCCAGGCATCACAGCGACGAACAGAGAGGAAACTTAAAGAACTTAACGCCACGTTAGACCAGGAGAGAACCCAGCATGTTGAACAGAGAGATCAGGTAAATATACAGATTTGCATACAATTTGTCTTAAGGGCAAAACAAAACATTTCCAATTAAAGTCAAAGTTCAACCTGTATCTGCTTTCATGACGAGTTAAATGACAAGATCAATAAGCCTCTGTGTAGGTCTCTGGAATATTACATTTGGCAGACACTTCTGTTCAGAGACTCAACAGGTGTGTCAAACATTGTAGTAAGAGCTGGGATATTCTAACATGTAAAGTGTGTACTTTTTTAAACAAATAGTTGAAAGCAAATGAACTCATTCACGACAAAGTACTTGATTTACATGCAATGCTACAGCTAACAGCCAGTTAGCTTAAGCTAGACTTAAAGACTGAAACAAGGGTAAACAGTTAGCCTGGTTCTGTCCAAAGGTAACAAATCCATCTTATAACACCTTCAAAGCTCACTTATAAACACTTTATACCTTGTGTTATACCACTCTAGATGTTTTTTAGCTAGGCTAAGCTAACCAGCTGTTGACTGTGGCTGCTTACTTGTCATACTTACATGAGCATTTTCAATCTTCATTTATAAAAATGATTTATTCTTAACTATTATTTAGATTGCAAAGCAGTTAAACACAACTATTTGATAGAATATTTTCCCACAGTTAGCTAATGTTTCCTGACTGTACAAAATGTACCTGCTTAACATAGTTTTCTATTTATAAAGACAGAATTATTTATTGATACGGTTTGATCTGCAAAAAAATAATATCATCTGAACTGCTCCCGACCCAACCCTACTTATTCATCAGAATACACCCTGACCTGCCTTCCTCTCTCATCTTCCTTCTGCTTCAACCTTTTTTATGTAGCTGTAACTATTTCCTCCCACACCCCCCCACCCCCCCCAAAAAAACCCCACACTAGTCAAACCCCCTGAGAAGTCCTTTCTGCTTCATGTTCCCCCGTGGCCTATGTCTGACCTCCTGTGATCCCCTCTAACCCCCTGCCTCTCCCTGTCTCCGACCCCAGCTGTCTCTGCGCGTGAAGGCCTTGAAGCGGCAGGTGGACGAGAGCGAGGGAGAGGTGGAGCGCCTGGAAGGAGTGCGCCGCAAGGTCCTCAGGGACCTGGAGGAGCAGCAGGAGCTCCAGGAGGCACTACATGCCAAAGTGACAGCCCTGGAGACCGAACTAAGGTAGGACTTCAGTTATCTAATATATTTATGCAGAGGCCATTTTGTTTTGACGTCACTCTTAGGGGGGGAAGCTCAATGCTATCATAACATTGTGCTGCTGGGTTTTTTAGGTTGAATGAATTTCAGTAATGTAACAAATAATTTACATTTTAATCTTCTATGTTAATGAACAACAAAAAACTACAACTGATAGATAAACTATGATGGACACAGTTGCCTATTACAAGATGAAATAGCAGAGTTAGTAACACATTGACACACGGTAACACTACATCTAATGTTAGCATTTAAACCACTTCCTCACTAATGCCATTGTTTAATAATAACCACTAGCAAGTGGTTAAATGCTAATGTTAGCGTCGTAACGCTAACATTAGCATGACTTTTCCAATATGTTGTTTAACCATGAAATATCTCCCTCCAGATCAATGATGGAGCAGAAACACACAGCTGTATGACAGCATTTAGGCTAAGCACACCCAGAGCATGTCATCGGAGGATAATGATTGGAAGAGTGTTAATTGTCCCCAAATCTAAAAAAAGAATCTCTCAAAAGTCTTATATTTGAGCATTTTACTGTTATCTTTTCAACACCATGTGTCTTTCTGACACTAGGTGGCACTCTATAGCAACTAACTGAACACAAGCAGCATTCACTGTGCAGCAATGTTTTAAAGTAGAGGAACTGAGTTATTTTGGATTTTCTTTTTTTTATCTTAGGAGGAAGTCTCAGCACCAGCCACACCGCGCAGCTCTGGGCTCCACCACTCTAAGCTCCGAGGATGAGGAAGGTTTCTATGACACCAACATCACCTCCATCCTTACCGAGAGCCACCTACAGACCAGCAACTGCTGAAGGAAGATCCATGAAAAGAATGTATCTCCTCTCCAATGCTCGAATGATTTGGTTAGAAAAGGAACTCAGGGCGTCAGGATGGACTCGCCTGTGTGAAGAACTCAGTTGCCATGCACTACAAGTTTGCCTCGGAGTTGTTGCCGGTTTTATTTTTAGTACAGCAGTCCTACAGAGACAGGTTGTCAGGATGATAAGATCGCATTTTTGAGCCTTCAGCTGTGATTACAACATGTGTATCAGTCTTGAAATCTCCAGTTTTTCCTCTGTTGAAAGAGCATTTAGAGTCACACGTTTGAACTGGAATCCTCCTTTTAAAAAGGCTTGTTGCTGTGTGTTCTGTGCATTAAATACTACATTAAAAATACACCACTGTGGTAGCAGGTTACCGTTGCATGGTTTATAGGTCATGCAGAAGACAAATACAAACTACTTCAAACCAAAAATGAAAGTCTTATACCTGTTTGCTCATGCATGATAAGTTAAATCTGTCAGTGATGTTTGCAGCTCAAAGTGTTTCTTTGTGTATTGAAGTGATGTTATCTTTTGTTTTTTACATTGAGTGTGATAACGATGGGCCCTTCAAAGTGAGCCTAACACTGTATTAGCTGTGCATACTAGCTACTTGAGACAATCAAATGTGTGTACGGTAGCACTGAGCATCCTCAGACATGAACCTTCCCCATCAAACATTTTCTACTCCAACCCCTTTTTTTCTCCTGTGCTTTGCTAAATCTCTTTACTCAGCTTGATGTGCATGTTTTCTCTCCAAATGCCTTAATAAGAGTTGTCTTTATTTTCTCTTCATGTTGTCTCCGCATGTCTTCTGACTAAATGCTGCTGCTGTAATGTTTAAACATGGTATTTTATACGCTCTATATCTCCTGTACATTCTTATGGAAAGAGTCATTAGCTTAGCTTTAGAGGCGCTCCACATTTCTCTTTGTTGCAGCTATCACTTTGATGAATGTTGATCATGATCCCCGGTTGACATTTTGATGATTTTAACATTTGAAACACGTCACTTTTTAAATTGAAACGTGGTTAAATCTTTGTCAGATTTCCAATAATGAAACATATTCTACGCACATTTTGATGTACAATAAAGAGAGGTATATTGTATATGTCTGTGCCTTAAACACATTTTCTTGATATTTAAAGCATTTATTGTTGATGTTAGATATAAGACAAAACACCAGGATCAAAAGTCTTTGGCCAAACATAAAAAAAAAAAAAGGTTAAGATTATTTTTTCTGTCTGGGCTCGTCATGTTGTATTGGGGGCAAGTGGGACTGACCACCCAATACCCCAATAGAATAAACATATAAACAATATTTTAAATTACAGGCAAGGTGTTATGTTCTCTGTTTAGGGGACCCAAGATACAACATGCTAAGTGACCCCCACTCTTCCCACTACCTAAGAAAACCAGTAGCCCAGGTCGACTTTAAACTTAACAGAGCAATTTATTTATTTTTAAGGCAGAGAAATGACCCGAAAACAATAAATAAAAGGACTAGCAACACCCTAGTCTTTTCTAATGTGCTAACATAAAAACAGGAGGAAAAGTGGCTTCTCCCTCCTAGTCACTGCTGTGCAGTGCATAAATATTTACAGCACTTAAGTTTAACAAATAACTCTAACAATACTCTAAAAATTAAATCTAGTATGCTGTGAGTAAACAAAATGGTCATGTCAGACTTTTCTAACTTGTTCAAAGGCTTCAAAGTAAATTGGATTTGTTCTGAAACTGAGATGTTCTTGGGATGATTCAGTTAAGTGTTTTTATTCTTACCCTCTAGGGGTTTTTGGACACATGAACCATCTTATCCCAGAGGTGTGGCCATTGCATCATACCTGACTGCTTTGTGTTCATGTGTCAGCGGGAGGTGTGCCAGGAAGCAGCAGGTCTGAACCCAGTCTCAAAGAGAAATCCCACCCCACACACACACCACACCACCCACCTCATTAAACATTCTCTGTACCATTTCCACCAGTGTGTCCAAACAAGACTTCAAACAAACTGAGATTATTTTGTAAAATGCCCCACTCGTAAAGTCTTCCTGGAAAAATTCCCCTAAAACAAAAACAAAAGGAAAGATTTTTTGATGTGCAATGACAGCTATAAAAAGCACATTGATATCATCTGTCATCATATTGAGTGCTGTTCCCGGATTAGGGGACTCACTGAGAAACTGGATAGTCCAGAAGGAGCTGCTTTGTAAACAAAGGCTTTGGTCTGATTCTTTGAATTTCTTGTTGCAGGAGCTACTGGTGCAAAAGAATTTGATAGAGACACCGCATCGTTTTTTTAAAAAGGTTTTTCCACCTTTTAGGGATCTCTATTGTTGGAAAAGTGAGGGTGAAGAATCTGTATGCCTACTAGTGATGAGACAGGGTTATCAAGTTGCATGTTGATTTTGATGTTGGATTTAAAAAGGTACAAGGATTGACAGCTGACCCTATAAAGCCTCCTGGGATGTTGCATGTACAACAGAACCTTTTAACATTTCAATAAACCGAGTTCACACCTTTACAAGAAAACAGAGAATACAAGATCAAGGCCTGCTGTTGCGGTCTATCTGTGTTGTGTGTGCTGCAGTATTCATATCATGTCCTGTTATCACTGCTAACCAACTCTGCCAGGCTGATGGTTCACCGTCAAGAGGAATTTCTGAGGCAGTTTGAGTAAAAGAAAAATAACCGTGTGAAATGTAAAATGGGATAACTATTGTAGCCGTGTGTTTTGGGTGATGCTGATTAGCAGTCTAGCGCTGGGTTGTATAGACATTAACTATAACGTGGACTAAACTTAATACATCGGATGTCTACTGTGCGTATCATAGGCTACTGTGGCACAACATAAACTCAGACTGAACATTAGTAATATCACTTAACTTGTCTTAAACAATATCACTCCACCAACCATGAGGAACCTTAAAGTCACAGAACAAAAGTACAAAATAGAAATATAAACGGAGTTCACATTAAATTAAATAATGAAAATGATGGTTTATTTTCTGTTTCACTCCATTGTGTGCTCTCGGTGGCTAATTATAGTCTGTTATTTTTATACTGAGCAGAAGTATTATGCTATACAAAGCACTGGAAGTGTAGCCTCGAGAAGTCCTCCAGTCACAAATCAACAGAGAAGGAAAGGTCAGATGGGAGTTCTGTCACAGTAGCTTTAAGGGATTATCATTTCATATTCAGTAATAAGATCTAAAATTTCTCCCCCGAAACAGTTCAGTTTTATTAAATAATTCCTCAGTATTCTTGATTCAGATCTGTTTTCTCTCATTCAGCAAAATTAGTATCAACTCAACTGCATGTTCTTTAAGCTGTGGCTGGGTTCCCCCCTCAGAGACACAGTGTGTAATCCTTGGTTGGTATACTGTAATTAATGATGACATAAAGCTGTAGTCATGACAACACTTCATCCAGCCCCCCTCTGTCTTTCTCCTTATGTCACCACTGCAGGGTTAGGACCTTACTTCAACTTTCTTGTTGCTTACTTTAAAAAAAAGAAAAAGAAAAAAAATACTGCTGACTTCATACAATTTGCAGCACTCAGAAAAATTGCTATAAAGTAGATCTATTATCTTTGATGCCTGAGAACATATTCAGTGGCATTTTAATCCTTCATAGTCACAAAGCGGCTCTTTTCCTCTGAAAGTACACTCATGAAATGAAAGGCCTAAAAAACCTCAAAGCTGCCATTAGATCAAGGCTCACATTAGCATTCAACAGCTACCTAGCTAACATTACTGTTAGCTTTAGCATTAGTGTTCCCCAGAATTACACTTAACTAGTTTCCTGGCTAAAATTAATGGCGGCTAACAGTTTTGTTTTCTAGCTAACATTACTGTAAGCTTGTACTTAATATAACTGTTAGCTAATAAGTATTAGCATCTTTTCAAAGCCTATAGTAGCTAAAACACTGAATTTAATGTAATTCTTTAAGCTTGGAAGTGGTTAATGCTAGCTTTTGTCTAATACTGGCTAATAAGAAATACGTTAGAAATTTGGACTGACATCCCTTTTAGATACTTATCCAGTGTTTTTTTTAGTTGCAGATGATTTTGAAAGCTTGGGAGTAATAAGGATTTTTCATTGTCTTGGTTTCAACAATTATAACTCTTGTAATGGAAGGTAAAGAGTTTTCCAAGGAAAATGTCCACTGTGAGAACTCCATGTCACATCAGCACTGCTCTTATAGAATACATTTGCATGTTAGCTAAGAACAGAACATACAAAATACACCAGCCACACCAATTCAATGACTGCCACTGACTATAAAAGGAAGAAATGTGAATGATTCAATACAACTTCATTGCATTTGAGGAAATAAATCGGTCTTAAATAACATGAACCCTCAACATTGTTGGGCTCACAAAGGTGTCTACTATTAAAGGCTGGTCCATCAATCAAACCAGTGCATGTTTACTTTGGGCTGGGCTTTTTAAAAATAAGCTGCCTTTTGAATTTCTGTCATTCTTACCTGCAGTCTGTTTATCCCATAGATGCCTCACACAAAGCAGATGTGCTATATTTACGGTAGGTTATTGAAATGAAACATAATTACATGAACGGAAGAACATTGTAGAAAAATAATAGGCTAGATTTAAATGGTTTACCTGATATGCTGATTAGGTCATGGTCTTTCTATATAGCAACAGCCTTTCAGAAATTTCTGCCACACCTACTGTACATATAAAGCAAGTAACAACAAGAAAATACAGCCCGTCAAATTTTAAGGTAAACTGACTGGACAGGAAGTGTCTATCCTGAAAGATATTTATGAAAAGCGGTTAATACAATCTGTTAATATAAAGTAAAAAGTACTATAAAACTATTATACTTATTTTCTGTAAACTCACTATTTCCAAGAGTTTTTATTCATTCAACAAGTGAAAAGGTCTGTCTTCACACAGCTACATTGTTGAATCTGAAAGTAGGAAGCTTTCTTATAGTATGACATAATTAATGTAAGCAAAAGTTTCAAGCTGTACAACCAAAGGTAAATGAGTTCAGCCGTGGGCCCAGCAGTGGCATCAGAGGGTTAGGGTTAGCCATGTGACAGGACTGTTGTCAAACAGGCGTACATCCTATTTGCAGGTCTGAAAGAGAATTAGCTGAGGTGCATGGGAGATCACGGTTACTGCAAGTTCTGGAGTTGCAGTTCTGCTGACATGTTGCAGGGGAAAGGGGACAACATTTTGTCAAAGGAAGACAGATGAGGAGAGGCAGCATATGGAATCAATCTGGAAGAAGATCAGGCAGGTGACAGAGGACAAAATGCCCTGGTTCAGCAGCTCTCACACCAAATGCCTGACGGATGGAAGGGTGGTCAAATTCTCTGAGGTCAGACAAGGTTTCATTTTCAGACGTTTGTGCTCACTGTCCCTGATACCTTATTATTCCTATAGATCGCCATGCAGGAAACATTGTTATTTTAGATATAGATTTAGTAAACTTCTTTTAGTTTAGCCGCCACTTGTGACTGTAAGAATATGAAACAGTTTTCTTATAGATAACTAGAAATGGTCAGTCTTGTCCAAATATGAAAAAAAAAAAGTTTTTGGATAGATATTTTACTACAAATGTTCACGAAAAAACAACAAGATCAGACGGCCTACAATAAATCAATATAGATAAATATAATTAAATTGACTATAAAGGACCAGTCGGTGTATGGAAGAGGAAAACCTACTGTACAGATGCCAAGGAAAAAACAGAATATGTTCAAAAAAGGTAAATGATAGGCTAGATTAGATGCTGGGTTGTGCTGCAGTGTTCTTTTACAGGCTACATCCCTCTGTGGGAGGTCTTTATATTTCAAAACAAAATACATATTAAGGTAAAATGTGTGATATTAATTTGGCCTGTGTGTCTCTATCATAGGGAAGAGGATTAAGGCCGACCAGAATTTTTTTTCTTTGGTTCTGATTGTTTTTTTTAATTCAAACTTCATTCTCAGAATTATGACTTTATTCTCAGAATTATGACTTTAATCTCAGAATTATGACTTTAATCTCAGAATTATAAATTTAATCTCAGAATTATGACTTGAATCTCAGAATTTGAATTGAATCTCAGAATTATGACTTTAATCTCAGAATTATGACTTTATTCTCAGAATTCTGACTTTAATCTCTGAATTCTGACTTTAATCTCAGAATTCTGACTTTAATCTTTGAATTCTGACTTTAATCTCAGAGTCAGAATTCTGAGATTAAAGTCAGAATTCTGAAATTAAAGTCAGAATTCTGAGAATAAAGTCAGAATTAAAAAAATAAAATCAGAACCAAACATTTTTTTTTTCAGTGGCCCTAATCCTCTTCCGTACTATCAGATAACAATTCATCTGGATTTAGTCTAAAACAATATTGAAATCCCACACTGACTGCTGTTTCCTGTCTGATTTATGATTCAGTGAATTCCATTTAAATGAGGTGCGGGCGTGTTGAAGACCTGCAGGGTTCATTTTTATCACCTGGACAAACAGACAGACAGTTAGTGCAGAGCAGACACAGAGAGAAAGGGAGAGGGCTCAGGTGTCTCAGGTGTCTCCTCGCTGCGGATTTGTTGGAGTATAGTTTTAGTAGGCTACCTCACAGAAGGAGTTTAAAGTTTGAACACACACGGTGAAACTTTAAACTGCTAACATTTCTGTTCTAATGTGTCGGAACAACTCTGAAAACTTTGTGTGAAAAGATGAGCGGCGACGTGACGCGGACTGTGGAGAAAGGAGAGCAGGACGACCAGACTAACGTGAGTGAGGAATACACAGTTTACATAGACTACTGCACTTTTTAATGCAAAGACATTAAAGTCAAATTCCGCTTCGGGAAGTCAGAATGTAAATGTGTCTGTGGTAGGCTAATTTACTCAGTGTTAGGTTATTCTTCTTCTTGGGATTAAATGTCACTTGGTGGTTCTTGTGGTACGACTGTTCGAACTCTGTTACAATAGTGTTTCTCTGCATTAATTAAAACAACGTAACATAGCAGTTCACATTAGCTGAGTATTTTGAACATTTCACAGGATTTTTGAGCACGTTAAGTTTCCAACATGGCCATGTCTAATTTCTGTCTTCTGGTCTGGGATTCACATCATCTCAAATGAAGTTTTTTCACAGAGCAATATCTTTTTCTAGACAGAAATACAAGTTATTAGACCTACTTGTTTCAAACAATGAACAATAATAAGGAACAAGGAAAGGGAAAAAAATTCAGAGTTTTGAGTCAAAGGTTAAAGAATAAAAAGACAACTTGAATAGAAACTGTTGGTAGGCCTCTTTGAAATATGATTATCTGACATTGTAGTCAACAATTCACTTAGGCCTATATCAAAATATAAGACAACGATGAGGGGAAATAAACAAGCTCTTCACATGTGACAGCAAAATTCACCAAACAGCAGCGTAGGCTACTTAAAATACGTTGACTAGACATTTCCACCATACTTGTGTATTTTCATTGGAAAATCAGAGCTTAGTGTTGCATTAAAGTTCCTGTAAGGACCTGTTGGATTGTCCTCGTTTTGTTAACCCCTGTGGACAAATTTGATTGTATCCTGTAAATGTGTAAGTACAACATGTTCTCAACCTCCTTTCTTTGAACAATCAAATATATCACTCATCAAAAATCTTTGCCATGAACATGCAAAAAGAAAAAAAAATTCTGCCAAATAGCACCTACCCCCTGGCAGCAGTTTCATGCATAAAAAACTACTATACAGAAATAATACATCTTGTGGCTGATGGTGTATTTTGCCTTTGTAGGTCATATAGGGACGTCACTATTAATTTAATGTCAATTTCGTAACCAGCTAAAATTCATCATAACTTCCTTAAACACAGAATATATTTTTGCAGATGCATCACAACACACTCCTGCATGTGTTTGAACTCATGTGTTGTCCTGAAGCAGATTTAATGTGCGTGTTGATCAGGGCACATAGCCAACATTTCTCTTAACCAAATGTTTGGTCAGAGCCTGGGGCTGCAGTATGTCAGTCTGATGGTATGAAATGTAGGCCATACGGGGACATCAGCCATGGCTGAGTTGTAATTAAAGATATATGATTCATATGGGAAATTTAAATATTGAACACACCATGCTAAAAGGGATTAAAAATATCCTTTAGATATGGCTTGTATGGTCAAATACAAACTAGAAAACAGTGGTCAAGTTGCGGGCGTCACTGGTGGATTGCATAAATTGAATTCCACTTGTGTGTTTGTCATTGACTTTTCCCCCAGAGTTCTGTGTGTCACTGTGTACATGGCACTTTCCCTTGAACTTCAACCTGATTATTGAGTGTTCATTGTGAACACAGAATGAAAAGCAGGGTGGTTAAACACCCTTAAACAGTGTACTGTAGCAGTGTACGGTAACATCTGCCACTTGAAAAAGAACAGATGGGTATGTTGGAACAAGTGGAGTCCTGATGCTTAACAACGAACGCCATGAAAAGTCAGTTCAGTTATTCTACCCTCAAGTCATGTTTTGATTATTTCAAAAATAATTGCAGCGTTTTAAGTCCTAGAACTTTCTGAGTTGATCTTCTGTAACGGCTTCATTGAGAAACATTTGATTGACATTCCTCAATGTACTGAAGAAGTTCCAGAGGATCATTAAAAAGTACCCAAACTTGTTGGGTTGGGTAGTTAAATATAAGTTACCTATTTTCTCTTGCTGTCAAAATGTTTTTTCTTTTGAAGTACTTTTTATTCAAATGTAACATGTCATCCAGTTTGTGTAAAACCTGCTCTTTCACCATCACACAGTTTGGTGCAGTGATGTCATTACATGCTCTTAGTCTTAGTAGATAGAGACCAAAGTTCATTTACTATTCACCGAAGAGGCTCGATTAAGACTTTGGCAAATGAAAGGTCAACATTGCATCATGTTTTTATCCAAGGTTAAAGGAAGTCATTGGCATTATCCAGTGAGATGAGAAGGCGTTATGTCCTGTCAGAACGTCCGATGTGTATCAACATGATGGCCTGAATGAACAGATCATCTGTTGTGTTTATACAGATATCTGGGAAGAGGAGTAATAAAGTCATGCCTAGACTCAAATTCTGCAAATGAATTTTAGGCAGTTGCCGCTCGCTTTGATCATCTGAAATGGTGATTAAAGAAAAAGAATAAATGATTAGAGGAGTCGTGTCAGGACAGTTTGGAGGTTGAATTAGCTTTTCTGTTCTTGACTGTAAAAGTGAAGAAGGTCTCTGTTCAAATGGACATGATCAGATTAATACTTTGAATTCTGCTTCTGTTTCACAGTATTGACTCTGTTGGAGTTAGCTGGCTGTTCTTTTGGTAATCTTTTTTTTTTATGAATCCTGTAATCTCACTGTTTGTTTTTTTAACCTCTCATTTAACCTCTTTTGAAACTAATGTCCTCTGCCTTAAGCGCGTTCAGAAGTGTAATAGTTTTCTGCCTGAACTTGACAAATGATATGTAGGTTAGTTATGTTCATGAGAACAAGAAGAGCAAACATTGTCCTAGCAGGTATATCATTAAGAAAGCTGAGCTGGATGGTTGTGTGTTTTTGGCAGATCTACAGTATACTTACATGGTTACAAAGAGAGATCCACTCCTAGCCTTTGTTTGTCAGATACATTGTTCAGCGTCATGTTAGCTCTGCTGACGTGTCAACAAGAGGATAATTATATATAAATATATACAGGTATAAGATGGATAAATAACAGGGTGTTTAGTATACACACACCTGCATTCTATTCTATCTGTGTGTGTGTGTGTGTGTGTGTGTGTGTGTGTGTGTGTGTGTGTGTGTGTGTGTGTGTGGTATTTAGGTCTGTGATGACAATGGGAAAGAGACATAAGTATAATAAATTCTATTTTGCCAAATAAAAACTTACATGAAGAACAATGTTCACATTTCAGTTCTTTATAAGTTAACATGTCAAACATTAGATCTTTACAACTACCAAAGTGTCTGTGAAAGGTTTTGCTTCGTTTGTTACTTATTATCGTCAGATTGTCCGACAACAGGCATTTCAACGTGAGGTGTGACTTAACAGCAATTTTCCTTACATTTTTGACTTTTGACACCACCAATAACAAAAACTCAATTAATTTATTATCTGGTCCATAAAATGTTTGTCATTTGTTCAACAAAAACAAAACAAACCTTCCAAAAGCCCAAAAATGATGTGTTCAGTTTTCTTGTTTTCTGACTCCTGTCCACCTAGCGGTTTTTGTGGGCAGAAAAGCCGGTCTCTATGACAACAGTCTCTGTATGACTGACACGGCTCCATTACTTTTTACTGGATGTTTTTGTATTTGACATCATTTTTTACCAGGTCAGACACGGCAAAAAAGAGGATGTGGGTACAAGAAACAATCTGTCGGCGGGTGACATCAACAGCTCCTTTCTGAAAAGTTGAACGACTTTAAACTGACTTTAAACAGAAGGCTTTTCTCCAGGCGGCCGCTTTCTGCTGCGAATGCTCTCTCCTCATTGAAAACAATTGAAAAGAGACTCAGAAAAAAACACTAGGTGGACACGGGGCCTAAGAAAACTCTGATGTATACACATAAAAAGCTTCTAAAATGTTAGGAATGGCAGTTCACATTAGCTGAGTATTTTGAACATTTCATTTTTGAGCACTTTAAGTTTCCAACATGGCCATGTCTAATTTCTGACTTCTGGTCTGGGATTCACATCATCTCAAATGTAGTGTTTTACAGAACAATATCTTTTTCTAGACAGAAATTAAAGTTATTAGGCTTACTTGTTTCAAATGTATTCCTACAACAAATTTATCCTTTATCAAAATACATGCCAAATAGTTTCTATCAATTTTAAATTATTCCAAACAAAGAATCATTAACCAGAAATACAAAACATGAACTTAAACAGCAATGACAATTATAAAGAGTTATTGACTGTTAAAATAAAGATCATAACAGGGACAGAAGTGGAACCTATAAAGGTAAACCCTTTCAGTTTGAGATAGAAAAAGACACAATAACATGATCATATTTGGAGTGTGGCATGTGCGTTGTGTTTGTAGAGTTGTGTTTACACTGTACACACGCCTGTGCCAGAGAGAGACTGTTACATAAAGACGCTTCATTAATCATTGGTTATATAACTCACCAAACATTCCTCACCATGCTGCTACCTACAACTGTCACCAAGTGCCAGATACACAAAGCCTTCTTCATTCCAGTTGTATCTGGTATTCACTTATTTGTTTTTATATACGTTTTTTACAAAAGTTAATACTTCACCAAGTCACTCATCTACGACGATAGACTTCTGAATAAATACCCACATCTTTTTTCTTTCTTTCCGGGAATTCAAATAAAAAAGGGGAAACATTTGTAAGTGAGTCAACCAACAATGTGTTGTACAGTTTGGATTCACCATACAGACCTTGTTTTGTGCAGGACTAGAGTACCTTAGACCAGTCATCAACCATCTGAGTCAGGGCAGTCAGTGGCTGTAGAGTACTTTTCTCTGTATGCATGCTGAAAAATTATTATTTGAAAAATAAACCTGAATTTGTTCATAGACACTCCTTTCCATTATCTTACCCAGAATTGGTAATAAACTTATTGGTCGACTATTGGAACCAGATAATGACTTTCTCTTTTCTTTTAGGTATTGGAACAATTTTTGACATTTTCCATGATTGCAAACATACATTTTCATTAAAACACTTGTTTATAATGTGTGCAACCATAGGAGCAATTATTGAAGCTATAGGTTTTAGCAGCTTGCTGTCAAG